GCGTACTTTTGCCCTGATTTTCGCTTTTTTATCTTGGTCGTTTGGAATCGGTTTCTGAGCAAACTGTACAAATATCGCAAATCTATCTGTTTATATAACGTAATGATAATGTAAACAACTTTGCTTCCTTGTCTTTTAAATTCAGTTTACTCTAACACGCTACGTTTAACGTTTGAAAGAGTTGTTAGCGGGTTTTTGGTTTACATCATGTTCTTCTGCAGCTTCTTTTTGAGCAAATGGTTCACGTATCAGAATGGCAGTTTTAACACTCAATAGCGAAGGCTTCGGTTTATATGAGGTGTGAATTTAGTCGAATTCACGGCATCTGGTGGAGTCATAATACATTTTTAAATTTTCGAAAGTTTCTGATCGGTTTCCTGTTTTTACACCATGCTTTTCGAAAACCGGTTTATGCGTTGTTAGTTCAAATATTCAAACGATAGTTTCAACCGTGAAGAACGGAACATTTACTTTATATGTGGTTTGAATTTAATTTAAATCTTTGCATTAACACATTTGAAGCAATTTTTTACACTTTGAAGTGTTGTTGCGCAGTGGTTCACTTTTACTTCATTTTCTGCTGAATCCGGTTTCTGAGCCCCTTCGGCAAATATTGAAATGTTTGTGTGCAATTACTCAATAACAGAAGTTTTATTTACGCGTAATTTACATTTCGTTCTAGCCAAGAGACATGTGCATTAAAAAAAAATTTACTTTAGAAAATTTTTTGCAAATTTCCACATCATGCCCTTCAGAAGCATATTTCTGGACAACTAATGTAGACACCAAAATGGAGGTTTCAGCAGTCGGTAGCAAAAGCTTTCGTTTAAATACCTTAAAAGTTTAGATTAATTCCAATGGCCTCATCATACATTTTTGAACTTTGCAAAGTTTTTGTGCGGTTTTTCGTATTTGCACCATGCTCTTCTGACTCTGACTCTCTGTCACTGACTTAAGATATTGAAACAAGAGTTTTACCACTCGATAATAAAATGTTTATTTTATATATGAATCACATTCAGTTTCACTAATAAAACTGGAACTTTGATACCAAATTTTTAAACTTTGGAGTATTTTTGCGCGGACTTTCACTTTTACATCTTGCGCCTCCGAAGCCGGTTTATGCACAACTATTGAAATTCGAGTCCGAACACCAAGTGATTTTAAGCTGTTTCGTGTTGTTTAAATGTGAATCGATTCACAGCAGCGGAACCTTTATCGTACATTTTTAAACTTTGGAAAAGTTTTCGGCGAGTTCTAATTTCTACGCCATGCTCGTATGAAGCATGTTTCTGAGCGGCAGGCTTCATCATTGTGAGGGTATGAGCTTAGTTGGAGTTACATGGAGCGTGAACTTAGTTGAACTCAAGTTATTAGAAGAATTAGCGTTTTAACAATACATTTGTGAACTTTGATTTTATTTTGAGGATTTTCCCCTTCACAGTTGAGATATGAAAACTCCAGTTTACGCACTCCATAGCCAAAGCGTTCGTTTATAAGCGAAGTGAATTCCATTGCATTCATTGGACCAACACTTCCATGACGATTTTTTAAACTGAAAGTGGTTTTGTGCGATTTTTAACTTTTACATTTTGCTCTTCTGAAACCGGCTTCTAAGCAATCTCTACCAATATCGAAATAATATTTTTACTACCCACTAACAGAAGCTTTATTTATGTGCAGTTAAAGTTTCGAGCGGTTCATGTTAGTACCTTCATACTGATTTTTTTAACTTTGGACAATTTTTGAGCGGTTTTCTATTTTTTACACCGTGCCCCATTCTAATCTGATCTTTCAGTTGCGGTTTTAAAACAAGCGTTACAGAACTCGATAACGAAAACTTAATTTCATATTTGAGCTGAATTTGAGTCTACTCACAGGACTTTCAAAGCCGATTTTTAACCTGGAAGTATCTTTGCGCGGTTCATCATTTTCACATGCTCCCTGAGGGCAAATTCTGAGCATTTAGTTGAGCCCATAGAATGAGTCTTTCAGCCAATCATAAAAAGAGCTTCAGTTTGCACGCAGTGCATCTGCTGTCACGTTCCACTTAAGGCATTGGTTTAAATTTTGGGGTTAATTGACGCCGCGTTCTATTTGCACTTCGTGCTCTTCTGAGGCCGGTTTCTAATGGACCAGCTCAGATATCGAAAGCGCACTATAAGCACTTCATAACAAAACTTCAATTTACATGCGGTTTGAATTTGGTTGCACAGTTCTTCTAAAATTAACATTTAGACGTTGGGAAGATTTTGAGCGGATCTTCACTTTTACATCATGCCCTTCTGAGGCGTGTTTCTGAGCAACCAGCCGAGATATTTTAAAGGGCTTGCCAGCACTTGATAACCGAAGCTTCACTATAAACGGTGCAGCTGATAGAATTTTCGATCATCGGGTATATGAAGAATGATTAAGGCATATTAAAGGGGGTTGGTTAGCGACTTAACGGGCCGGTTAGGGCAAAGCATCTGCTCGTTCACATTGTTTTAACGAAGCTCGGTCACGGTATATTTATGCGATTAAACCTGTCTGCCTACGCATCGTTTTGTAAATATTACCTCCATCTCCCCTTTGGTACAATTAAAATAATTTCCCTTTGTTTAATGGGGATGAGTATGCGATTTGGCGATGGAAAATCACGCTTAAACGGCACGCAACTTGCGGTGCTTGCAAAGCTTTCAGAGACCAGAACACGCCCCAGGAAAAATTCCTCATTTCATTTTTCTCTTCAGAGAAAACGGATGAATATCGGCGAACAAGAATGTGGATAGTTCAACACGCCCACTTTAAATGATTGTTTGCACTTGAGAAATGTACGGCAAACTTGAATAAAGCTACTCATCCGATACGCCCACTTAATCCCATTTATTTACCTTAACAAAATATACTATAAACCGAGTATGCATGACCTATTGTGATAGTAGCGACGCTCATTCAGTTGTTTTCAAAACCAGTTGGTTCGCACAATGGGCAGCACAGCCACCCACCTAAAATGTGTCAATGGGTTTGAAAACTTGAATGAAACCTCTAGTATTTGGGGCCTTTTATGCCAAAATTTCAATCGCTTCCAGGGGGCAAAATGCCACGTGACGCGGTACACCGATTGACAGAAATAAATTAAATGCTAATAGTAGGCCTAATAAATACGGCATTAAGTTATAGGCCTATTACACAAAGCTCTATGTAAATCACTCTAAGCAGCTTTCCGAGCTCTTTATTTGTCTTTATTCTCGTTTTATGCTAAGCAGAATGGGGCTTAAGTTGGGTAATTTCAGTTTGTTCTTACGAAGACGTGGAAGCTTATCACTTTAGTCCACACGTGCGGTAAAAAGAGCGTTGCCTCTGGCAATTGCGTGCAGTAAAGTGTCTTTACCGCACGCTCCAAGAAAATCACATGGCTTTTGGTGAGCTGGCTGGTTTAGGTTTAGGCCTGGGTTAAAACTAGTTTTTTATTCAAAATTCGACCCTTAATCGGGATAGAAAAAGGAGTTTTAATCCAGACCCAAATCTGCTTATTCAACAAAGACTCCAAATCCTTCTTCATAGTGAAAAGTGTTTCGGATTTTGGAAAAATTTCTTCGCCTCTTTATCGGCAATAAAACCAGCCCGCCGGCAAATCTGCTCATTCGCATTGAACTTGAAGAAAACATCTCGGAATCCTTATTTTATTTTTTCCGTTTCCGCCGTCTAATCCGGCTTAATTTCCATCCGGATGAGTTTTTTTAGGGCGTGAAATGGACCAGCGGGACGTCCACGGGTCCGTTTGTTACTTTTATTGCTTTGGGAGTGAGAGGGGTCAACACCGTGTTGCCATTTATCGGGAAAACTATCGAGCATTTTCCGATTACTATAAAAAAAATGGTTTTTCTGCGAGCCATCAAGAACAAGTTTCAGGGACTTTGTCCTCAAAAACGTGCCCATTTTTGGATAAATCCGGAACCGCCTGAGATATTTTAATAAAATTTTGCGGATGTCACTAGCAATCGAGCGAGCATGTTTCGATTAAATGGAGCATATTTTTGGTGCTCCAATGGCGCACGTAACTGCAAAACTTTCCATTTTTAATGATAAAAATGGTGCGCCATTCTCTCCCTGTTCAAGTGCACACAAAAAAGCTCTCATACACTTTTTTCCTCAAAACAATTTTTGCTTAGTTCCGGATAAAAAAGCACGACAACACCGCATCGCAAGAGGGTCACTCTTTCAGATTGTCTAGACCAGAGAATCTGTCCGAACCGAAGAATAAATCACCACCAGTATAACTGAGGATGTTTTTTACGTTACATTGACCGATTCGGAATAAAGCTGCTTCACGAATTCAGGAAATTATTTCAATTTCAATAAAAGGATTTGACTGATTCTCGGTCCCCCTCATCCAGTGGCCGGAGCGAAAAGGGGCCATTCGGAACAGGACTGATTACATGAAAAATCCGAATTCCGCCCAAGCCGTTCAGTGGCTTCTGTGTGGTCAAATGGTAATCATCAAGTTGGGCGCTGATGAGTTTCCAACGACTGACTTTAAAGCCGTCTCTTTAAAAGCCTTGATGATGGTCATATCGACTATTCATGGCTCGTTTAAGGCTCTTTCTTCTCCTTCGGAGATAAATCGCCTGGTTGGGCCGGTAGCCGAATTATCAATCAGCCATCAAACCGCCTTAATGATGAGCGTTATTAATGCGCTTCCATCGGCCATCCACTGCTTAAGAGGGCGCTAATGACTGCATGAAATGATTAATTTCCCTAAGCAGGCGACAAACAAATTAAATAATCAGCATTTGACGCTGAATGATCGAAATGCATCGCCGATATCGGCAGATTGATCGGTAATTACTGTTTAATCAATCTAAGGAATTTTTGGCTAAGACAACCTGGCTTACAGCTTGGTATGAAACGATTAAGCTTAAGCCCAACTGGATTTGGAACAATAATGAGTATCAATAAAACCGTCACACGGCATCAAAGTAGATTCTCCAAATTCGCCAAATTTCCTATAAATATCCCACATCGAAACCAGGAGATCAGTTGGGTAGCTGGATTCGCAGAGTGCCAAAATGAAGATTGCCATTATTGCCTTAGTTTGTGCCCTGGGCGCTTTTGCCGCAGGGGAAACTCTTGAGGTAAGTCCCAGTACCAGTCTCCTCCTCACTTTTGAGTGCACCAACCCACATTTTTCCAGGAGTTTGGATACGACTGGGACAACATCAAGCCGGCAATTCTGGTGAAAGAGCCCATTGGCCCAATCCCAGAAATTCCTCAATCTGGAAGCCGAATCATTGGCGGATCCGTAGCTGCCCGAGGCGCTTTTCCCTACCAGGCTGCTCTGATCATCAACGGCAACAGTTTCTGCGGAGGCTCCATCATCAGTAACCAATGGGTTCTCACTGCTGCTCACTGTGTGGACACGTAAGTGAACTCCCTAATTGAATCGAAATAAAGCCTTGAGGAGGCGGACACAAGTTGCTATTACTTAAAACTGACAGAAGAGAAGTGAAAAAATATGATGTTTTGGAAAATCTTGGATTCGTAGCAAATTCGAGTTAATTGGAAATTATTTTTTCGTATCTGTATACGAATATGTAGTAAAACAGGATTGGTATTCATTAGTTAGAGTTATTTCCTGTACTGTTTGGCCGATTCGATTGTTTTTGGGCTTCTTTGAAAGAGGATTTTTTAGCCTTTTTGTGACAATTTTTACAAAAGTGTTCGATTTTGATTCAGTAAACTTTTTCAAAAAAGTCTTTTGCAGCAATGACATTTTTGAGATTTTTTACAAACATTGAATATACAAAAGTACTTTCTTGCAGAGGGGGATTACCGCGATCCAAATATGGCATACAACAATTGGGAGAAATTGTAAGAAACGGTGAAAATTTGAAGTTTTCATCCCCTGAATCAATAGGCGCAAAAATGTGAAAATTTCGCGGACTTTCGCAGTTAAATCAGCCCGTATGTAAAAAACCGTTGGAGATATTTGATTACTCCTTGGAACATTTTCGATAGCCCGTCTAGAGGGCTGTCTTTCACTATCCGGGTTTCTTCAGAAATTTGCAACTCCCGAAGAAATAGATTCAAAAATGTGAACATTTTGGGACCCTCGAAGCTAAAACATCTAGTATCTAAAAAAACTGTTGGAGATATTCTTCCTGTACGTAGGACCTTTCCGATAATACGTCTCCAGAGCTGTCTTTTGTTAGTAGGATTTCCTCAGAAATTTCCAAAGTCTGAAGAAATAAAAGGGAAAGTTTTAAAATTTCGCAGGCATCAAAGTTAAAACACCGCATATGCAAAAAACCGTTGAAGATAACCGTCCAGTTCTAAGGACGGTTTCGATCGTTCGTCTGAAAAGCTGCCATTTACTGGTTAGGTTTCTTCAGAAATTCCTAAAGGCTGAAGCAATAGAAGCAAAAAATTAAAAATTTCACGGGCCTCAAAGCTAAAACACCTCGAATCTAAAAATCCGTTGGAGATATGTCTGCAGTCTTTAGAACCTTTTTGATAGCTCGTCTCAAGAGCTGTCTTTTATTGCTCGAGTTTCTTCCCAACTCCTGAAGAAATAGAAGCAAAAATGTGAAAAATTCGCGTCCTTCGAAGCTAAAACACCCCATATCTAATACATCTAATACATCGTTGGAGGTATCGCTGCCGTTTTTAGAATCTTTTTGACAGTCCATCACCAGAGCTCTGTGTTAGTAGCAGAGTTTCTTCAGAAATTCCCAACTGCTGAAAAAATACAAGCAAAAATGCGAAAAATTTGCAGCCTTCGGAGTTAAAACACCACGTATCTAAGAAACCGTTAGAGGTATCCCTCTCATCCTTGCACCTTTTCGATAGTCCATCTCCAGAGTTATATTATGCTAGCAGAGTTTCTTCAGAAATTTCCAACCCCTGAAGAAATAGAAGCAAATATGTGAACATTTTGCCGCCCCCGAAGTTAAAACACCCCGTATCTAAGGAACCATTATAGGTTTTCCTCCCGTCCTTAGAACCTTTTCGATAGTCCATCTCTAGAGCTTTGTTTTACTAGTAGAGTTTCTTCAAAAATTCCCAACCCCTCAAGAAATAGAAGCAAAAATATGAAAATTTTGCGGATATTTTTCCTCAAATCTAAAAAAGACAGTGAAATTCTAAAAAACCTGTTTTCTTCATCAAATTAAAAATGAATGGAGATATCGCGATGGGGTTTTCACTTTTCACTAGCATTTAGTCAAGTTTAATCTCGGCCGATCAGTGTGAAACTAAAAACACTTAAAAAAACACACAAAAACCTGTTCAAAACTCAATACCTTAAGAAAACAGATTGTCCAAAAGACCCCATTTCATTGTCATAAAAAGACCATGAAACGCCCATTACAGCAAGCGCAAAAACCCTAAAATCCATCAAACAGTTCAGAAGATATTAACATGTAAAAATTTCAAAAGGCATTGGCTTTCCCGTCCACGTATAACCCATACAAAACTGCAATCAAACTAGGCCACGCCCTTTTAACCAACTCACTCAATCAGGAATCTAGATTTGTAGCTTTACACTAAAATCTCCAAGATTTCCTGCCGTTTTGCGCAATCCTAGCGGTCATTTAACAAACATATTTACGAGAGACATATTTCACAAACACCCAGTATATAACCAAGTAAGTGATTATTTTGTAACTGTCCTTGTAGAGCCACAAGTGTGCAATTGATTTTGGGCGCCCACAACCCCAGAACCACCGTAAACGAACCCACTCAAGTGCGCCTGGCTTCAGATGGGCGTGTGGTGCACGCAGATTGGAACCGCAATACTCTACAGTATGATATTGCGCTTCTGAGGGCTGCCGGGATCCCCGTCGGTGCAGCTGGTATTTCCGCCGTTGCTCTGGCTCCTGCCAGTTCTGGAACTTTTGCTGGATCGACCGCCGTTCTGTCTGGATGGGGTGAGTTTGTGAAACTAAGTCGCCTTCCAGATGGACTAGATTTGGAAATATTCCAGGTAGAACCAGCGATCTGAGCAATTCCATTGCCGATGAGTTGAACACTGTGCAATTGCAAATTTTGAGCAACGCCGTCTGCCAGAACACCTTTGGAAGCTCCATTGCCGACCAACACATCTGCACGTCTGGATCTGGTCGTGTTGGAGCCTGCAATGGAGACTCTGGTGGTCCTTTGGTGGTCAACGGTGTTGAAGTGGGAGTGGTTTCCTTTGGATCGGTGCTGTGCTCCGTCGGTCTCCCCACTGCTTATGCCAGAGTTTCCTACTTCAGAAACTGGATCACTTCCAACTCTGGAGTATAAGTTTGCCCCAATCGCAACCCAGACATCTTCAAGTTATATGGTTATATTGATTAAAGATTTTTGAAGGAGTGATGGTGTTTTAACCCCCCGGATGTAAACATTCCACGTTTAGTTTGTTTGCAGATAATCACCGTTTATACAGGGTGGCCCAACTTCAAGTGGCAACGCTTTTTGTGTACAGGAAGTACGAAATCGATGAAACCGAGCAAAATAAATCGCCACAGCTAATACCAAACTAATGTTTACGTACACCAGCATAAAGACATATTCAAGCCTAATAGGTAGACTAATTCCCAACACTATCCGAGCCTATTCGAACCCAATCCTCCTGGCTTAAGCCCGGCTCGACAAAGAACAGTTTAAATCTTTTATACGGGGGCAATTTTTCGTCCTTTGTGAGGCGATATAACATAAATAACCTTATTAGAGCGATACAATGGCTTTTCACACATCCGTGTTTACGGTATACACAGCATTGTGGAGCATTTTATATAAACGGCCCAGGGAATCGTGAAGGAACGGTTTTGTCACTGCGGTTTACGTCGGATTTCGCTTTTGGACATTCAAAAAAAAATGCAATCTTTCCATTTCTTTTCATTTTTGATTCATGGTTCCTGTCTAAAAATTGAGCACTTTGCACAATCAATTAATTGGTTTATTATCAGATAAACGTTCGCTTTGGATCAAGGTTTTATAATAACATTATTTATCGAGAATCTCGATCCAGTTCCAACGTGTGATCAGCGCACTTATCTTTCACAACATGTACGTATCGATTGTTTCGAATATTTCTTAAATCAATAGCCCAGATAAAGCACAAGTTGTCAATAAATGTTGCTAGCACGTACATGCTATTAAACATGTGACACTTTCAAAGGTTGCTGAATGTTTGCAGTTGCTCATGAACATGTGGAAATGACGTCGATGCATGACTAATCGTCCCCCAAAAAAAGCCAGTGAATTTTCAATTTTTCCGCAATTTCTTGAATTTTCAATTTCCAATTTTATTCTAAAAAAGGAAAATTTCTGAAACAGTTCTTTATTGACCCTAACTCGTTGGGTAACCAGCTCAGTGGTTACCATGGCAATTCATCCCAACAATCCGTAGTTTGTGAGTGGATTTGTCAGCCCGTGTGTCAGTTGCTCCGTAAAGTTTCCATAACTTCCGCGATTTTTGCATTTTCCAGCCGGAAATTGTGGCATTTTCTTCAAGTTAATCCTTTCGTGAGCGTATTGCGCTGTTTTCCGCACCGCTAGTGGGTTTTGCTCAGCGAAAACGCCGGCTTTCCAGTAGGGTTTATTCTGACGTTTAAACGTCACATGTATTTTGCTTTACTCAAAAGGGCTCAAAAACTAAAATTTTTGAGGAATTGCACAATTGTGCAAAAATAGGCCGACAGAGACGATCACCAAACCCAATCAACAAAGAAGGTAATGTAGGCGAACAATGAGAACCCTGAAATATAATAAATCAGCATGGTTTACACCGGATATACAGGATGATTCAAAATTCGCGTCATTCCTTTTAAGGGGTAATAGGGGCCACTTGGAAGGTATGAGCAAAATATTGAAATTTTTTGTTTCGATAATTTCTAGAAGATATTAACAGTTGAAAATCGAATTTCAACTTTGTTATTATGCATTATTTTGAACGTGTTCCAGGTTTAATTGGAAGAATATTGAAATACTAAACATTCAAAAAGAAAAATTACTATCTTTGCTTCAAATTACGAAAATTTTTGTATTAAAAAGGTTCCGTTCTACAATTTTTTGATGAAAAGTCAAACCGGCAATGATGTTTTTGGTCATTCACAGATAGTTAGAGGTGGATAGCCATTGTCAATAATGACCACAACCCAAACTGTGACTTACTTTGAATTTCCTTTCACGAATTTGCGGATATGCGATTAGTTCAGGGGAAATGCTACAGTAACATAACAGAAGCTGAAAGAAGATTACAGGAAGATTGTAGAAGACAATCGATGTTCGGGTTCCAAACACAGAGAAACAAGTATTCAACATAATTGCAGAAGAGCCTTTCAGGGGCACTCAGAACATTGCACAACAACTGACACTTTCCCAGGCACCAAATAAATACCGGCTACATTCCTGCCGCGTATGTAAGATACACCGATGGATTACTGAACACCGGTATAAATTGAGCAGGAGTTAATTAACCGAATACCAGAAGCTGCTCGAGAAGAGTGCATAATAAGGTGATACACAGACAATGTGTAACACTTATACACGAATTAATAATTCGAGGTTATGAGTTTCGAAATACGTTCCGTCAATCAAAGATTTCTGTTGAATTTACCGTTTATCCTTGTCTGTCTTATCGTCACTTTCTCTATTTACCCATGGTTACCGGAGTTTTAAACAATTACGAAGCAACAAGTATTTACGTAATGTTAATTAAGCAGATTACCTTGAAAAACATTGTTGCCGTTTTTCTTATATAGTTTTTTGCAAATTTCTCAGTTTTTAATTCCAATTAATTCGTTTTACTTTTTTTCTGTACTCCTAAAACACCGCCAGACAACAACTCCAGAGGAATGGCGCCAATTTTAAATCACCCTGTATACATAAAGAACTATCTGAACACGAGAAAAGGGCACACATAAAGGACTTACGCAACAGAAACCAAAAAATGGGGCATTAACATAAAACAGAATAAATGCTAGAATAAAAGAGTTAAAAGAAGATTACTTGGAAAGAGTTCAAATATGAATGGAAGCGGTAGAAAGAGAATGGGAAATGCTGAAGATTCTAAGTCATATTTTGGAAATCTACATAAAGAAAATGAGGGAAATGAAGAAAAAAATTAAAAAAACTTGCGATAGTAGCGAAGTCGAAATTTAAAAAAAACTGTCTGAATTCCAAACGAACGTCTGTAAATGTAAATGGAAATCAAAAAAATTGCCAAACAAAGAGCTAAATAGAGCGTGTGTTTCGGCGCAACTCGGACTAATATTGAGTACGAATTTGAAGTTGTGGAAAGTTCTTGCAATTCCCTCAACCATCCAGAAGTCTTCGACTAAGCAAGACAGCAAACCAGGGGTAAGTGCCAGAATCCGAAACTTTCAGCCGAAAAAAAAACACGAGAGTTTCCACTACGTTCAATGGTCAAGCGCTCGTTTGCAGGCCCGGTATAAAAGAGGAAATGTTTGTTCTAAATTTAGTAAAAAAAATAATTTTTTTCCACAAAAATGGCCCACAAATGAAATCTTGAATAGCAGCTCTTTTCCCATTTCGAGTTTTAATTAAAAATTACTATATACAGGGTGTTACGAAATTGCTAGGCACATAGAAAACCTGAAAATAACGCCAGTACTTTATATATTTTTCCCGATCTGGCTTCCTTATAGAATACGGGCCTTTGAAGTGACAAGTTGAAAAATGAAATTTATTCTTGATTATTAAAACGTTATTAAAATGTATTAAAATTTGGCTTTTCTGAAATTTTAGTTACAAATGTCGGTTTTAGTTGAAAATGTACCCAAAATCATTTTTTTCTATAGGTACGGTCAATATAAAAAACAATAATAAAAGATGAACCCATTTCTTGCCACAGAAACTGAATAATTTATTTTTCCGATATCCCTGGCGGTTTTCAACATCAGACACATTTTGTGATGATACAAATAATAATATAGAAACAGCATAGAAAAATTAAATCGAACCTTGTTATCTTTAAATAAGGCAAATGATCGAAATGCGTCTCATTTGTTTTTATTTGCATATGAATGTACTTTGCAAAATTGTTTAAAAACTTTAGTTACACCCAAAAATAATCCCCATACTTTAGTAATCCCTCTTTCTTCTTTGGTTTTAACGGGAGTAAAGTAAACTAATGCCTTGAGGTGACTCCAGAAGAGAGTCTAAGGTCTCTTTTTGCATGGTTGACGAACAATTTTGAGACACCCTGTATATATAGAAACAGCCACTTTGATCGGCTTTTCTTTCACAATAACCTGGTGAACAAGAAAATCTAAGTCAATATACAGAGTGATTAAAGTACGTCAAGTAATCAGGGATAAAATCAGTCGAAATTTTAACTCAATCATAAGTGAACAATGAGCTTGGTTTCCAATCAGAAACATTATTTGGGTTTACCGTTATAATTTTTGGCACGTCGCGGTATGTTATGTTTTTTATTTGCAAATTGCTCGAGATGGGTGGCAGATGCGAAAGAAATTAAAGAGTTTGAAGTTTTGCTATTAAAGTTATAAAGGAAAAACCCAATAATAGTTTCATCCATCACCCTGTACGTCGGAAACGACGCATTTGCGACACAAGTTTATATGGACTTTTTAGTTAACGGAAAAACCCCTTAAGATGAATCGAGACCAGGCAGTCGAAATAAATTAAGATCCATTGGATGATTTACTGTTGAAACTGACCACTTCCGGTGGATGCAAACTGCAACTAAAGGGCGCATAACAGTGAGCATACAAACCGAAAGAATAGGCGTGTGTGGGCAGATGAGGAATTTCGAAAAATCAGCAGGACTTCGATTGTGTTTGAGACACTACAAATTGACCCCAGCCAAGCACCTGGTTGGATTGGACTGATGCCAGCCAGCGGGGGTCCGAATTGGGAATAAAAACACTGGCAATGGAAACGACAGGATGATGGTTTGGGCCGGCGATTGAATCGAAGTGAAGTCGAAAAAGTTCCCCCAAATAATAAACACATCATAAAGTGGAAAACGGTAAGAGCGGTCACGCGGCCTGCGGATAGAAAGCTCAATCCTATCTGGGCGATAAGGACGAGTAAGGACTAAATGGCCTGGACATGACGCAGCAGGATCATTCATCATAAAACCCAGTATGGACCAAGTCGAGTCGAAAGCTGATAACGTCGGCGAATTATGATTTTTGGAATAATGGGCAGAAGCTGGTTTTGCGCCATTAAGTAATCGCTACTCAATTCGGACGAACCGCGAATAGGAAAATTCAAAGTTGGGAAGCGACATTGATTTCTATCGATCAGCAATTCATGAATCAAATGGATGAAAGTATGTACTTTCAAAATGGGACTGATATAACCTACATATAAACTTGCCCTGACTTCAAAAGTGCATAAATTCTGATTTGCTTTCTGTTTGAAGCGTTATTTAGCCCCCCGAACGAATCGTTCCCTAAACTAGTTTTCTTAGTTCGGCTTAATCTCGGCTTACTTAATGCGGCTAAAAAATTCTGACATTCGTTAGGAATATTTCTTCTTGACGTTGAAAAGGCTCAGAATCTCAATCTCAAAGAAGAGAAAGAATCAAAAGGTAACGAGGTCTCAAAGCTTCAGAACTTCTATCGGGAAAGCGGTAAAAAATATCATATCGTTTTCGATTGCACGCTTCGAGAGCTGTCTTTTCATATTTAGTTCCATATAGAAAATCTAACATATAAAACGTTAATCAACAGCACATCAGATTTTTAAGGGCTCTTGAAGTTCAGCCATTAAAAAATATGAACCTTTACTGAATCCTGTTCGATAGAGCGCTTTGGGAACTTCTTGTTTCTAATTAGACGCACTAAAATTGATCAACAATTCACCTGCAATGCGAAAATATATGCGCTACCATTTGCAAAAAACCGCCTTTTAAAATACGCATAAAGCAAATTGGAAAGCCGCTCCATAAAATTCGCAAGTCTGCACATGCGAGCAGCATAAATGCTATAAAAAAAACTACAAGCCTGATTGTCATCTACTTCTTTCTACAAAATGAAACGCTGTCCGGGTCCAGACCGCTGAATTTTCCTAAAACTCGATTTTTCCTGGAAAAACTCAACGCTATTGAGGTGACTCAAATTAAGAAAAGCAGCCGCTTTTTTTGGATAGAAAGTTTGGATATAATCTTGATCTGGGCGACTTTTCAGGTTGAAAGGAGCTGGACAGCAACAAAATTTGAAAAAACTGCACGAAATCTAAATGGATGGCCATTTGCAACATTTTAAGGCGCTTTCCGCTAGACCACCAAAAAGTAATAAATAAATTTCACATACCTTTAAGCAATTTGGTCTGGATTCTGTGGTACTTATTATTAACTTTTACAGCAGCAAAAAATTAAATTTACAGCAGAAAAATACTAATAATTGATACACTTGCGCAACGTTAATTTAAAGTGTTCGCAGCAGAAACTTATTTTACGGGGCACACACCTAACGATTTAATGCAGGAAAATGGAGCAAGAAAAGTTGAAATTTGTAAATCTGGGTTCCGAGAGTAATTGATAACAGAAAAAACACCAACAATTGATACAAAATACCTTACACCAGAATAAATGTGGTTTCATCAGATAAAAAAACATAAAAATAAGAAAACATTCAAAAACCCAATACAGAATCCAGAAACTCCCTCGCCGTTCCTCGTCGAAGAAGTATTAAATGCAACAATATAGGAAAATACAAGTCCGTAATATGGGTCCCAACGTTCTACATCTACATGGCAACCAGGGGCAAAGTAATACCAAACTTACCACAAGCTGCATCGTGCCACCTGGAAAGAAGAAAGAAAATATGTTTAGTTGAGCATAAAATCAGTCCAAAGCCATGTTATTGAAAACCAGCAAAAGAAAAAAAGAGAAAAGTAAAGAAGCCATAAAACTTCAGTTGCGTTTCGAAAAACTAAACTCAGTTTAAACTAAAGGATTTATAGATTAGAAATCCTTCTTACCAGCTTTCTGCAAGCTGGGGCTCCATTCTCCATTTTCTACCCATTTATCCTCAAAAAGCACACACTACATTTGATCACACAATGAAAATGCATTTCGAATTATACGTCAAGAAAATCATTGATTTTTTACTTCGCAGTCGATTTCAATTTTTTATTGTCCATTTTGTAGAAAGCGCCTGCTCACACGGCAATATTCGCAAAAACCAGTTTCACATTCCAAGTTGATTGGATGAGCACCGTAAATAAAACCGATTTCTCAGCCAGAGATAAACAAATCCGATCCGGACTTTTTTTAGTAAATTAAATGCTGGCTATCGAAGCAGTGATTTTATTCAAAGTTTATGATATTTTGCAAATTATCCATGCTCTTTGCTCACATTATTGCGGATATGGAATATCTAACTTGATTTCGACACGTGCTCACCATAGAGTCTTTTGGTAGATTTTTACAAAACTTTGAACTTTGAATGTTTCTCGTTGCTCGCACCAATAACAGCGCCGAAATAATTAACTTGATTTTGATATGACCTCACAGCTCAGTTTTTGCTCGAATTTTCATGAAATTCTGAGCCCCTACAGATTGATATTTAGTCAATGTTGGCTTAGTTAATGACCACATTCCAGCCAAGAATTATTTATCAAGGCATCATCAACAGCGACGGAATACATAACTTGATTTCGGCAAGATTTTCCGATTAGTTTTTTGCTCGATTTTCAAGAAAATTTCCGCTTTAGATGCTGGATATGTTTACTATTGTCCGCTAAAATAGCAGGTCCAGATTGAAGTCAAAACTGATTTACCAATCCTAATAAATCACCTGGAATAAAAAATTGTTTAAGGTTTTGGCAAAACAGACCACAATTTCCACATACTGTGAACCATTGTTGGTCCCATAGAAAAACAGAATCAAATGCATCTACTTAAGCTTAATCTGAGGGTAAATCACTCTTGCTGCCGGCTTATCCAAACCCAAACGAGCCATAAAAGATTTAATCACTTCAAACGTGGATGAGTGGAATGGCAATAAATTAATTAGCTTAATCAACCAATAAATTGCAATCTAATTTCTATCCCAGCCGGAACAACGCGTGTCGAGTGCACAAAAATCGACTACATTTAACAGTCCTCTTGAGCTGAGTGTCTGTGTTCTACCAGCCACTCCATTCTGAAGTTGATCGACTCTTCTGTTAATCCAATATTTATAAATCCACTAGTTCCAGTCTACGAAACACTCCAAAGCACTTTCCAACAATCCGTTGATCGGTTTGGCTTGCAAGGGACACATTCAAAAGTCTACCGGGCCTGCAGCCTGAAGAAGCCAAAGAACTGTCATTTGCAACCTAAATCCACTTGGTTTTTTTCAAAAAAACCCGTACTTTTTTAAACTTTGAATTTTTCGAAAGACAAAATCCCTGTGCGATTTTGTGGACGCCCTAATACACGCAATAAAGTTACAAGTGCATCGTAAAAATCGGATACAAGTGGGCCATAAATTCAGTTACTTTATTAATTTATTTGTAGTGTGATACCTAATAAATTATTTTCAAGTGGCGAATTTACCGTGCGCATTAGATCGGCTAGATAACCGTTTATCTATGGGTTTAAGCGCTTTCGAATCCCCACACCAGGTCTTATGCGGCCCGCTTCCGGTGGACCATTTTTTTGAGCAAACCTACTTTTTACCAATAGCACAGGGCGCAGCCTCTAAATAGGACAAACCTGTCCCCCATCGAGCAGCGATAAGGGAAAGTCAGGCATCAGGCCTGGTAAGTGCAGCATAATAAAATGTTCGAGTTTTATCTTCTATTTGCTCGCATTATCGCTACCTGTATACAGTCATACTAAAATATAATGGGTAATCATTCTTATTGATTTTGGTTAATCAGTTTTCCAGATAAGGGCAAAATAAACGAAATGTGTGGTTTAATTTTACGTTATCTGGCTATTTCTGTGGCGGCCGCCATCGATTTAATCCTGTAAAGGTTTATGTAATAACGATGATGATGAAACTGAAATTGTCCTCAATGGCTTTTCGTAATCATCCCGAAGTAAACTGGCTCTCGGGCAAACATCATCAAAAACTGATGAATGAATGGAAAGTGGGTAGTATCGTGTCGAATTTACTGCCACCCTTAAATGCCAGGTATAATAAACATTGCGGGAAAACGGATGGGCGTGACCGCATCGATTCTGAGGGGCAGGAAAAGCGCGTCAGGCATCCAGGAAAATGCATTGAAACCGGTAATGATCGTGTCAAACCGAAAGCGAGACCGCAATTAGAACATGATCAGTTCAATCGAACATCGAACGGCTGATTAATGGATTGATTAACAAAAAGGGGGATAATAAATGAAACAACTTCGGCTGCGCTTAGCGTTAATAGTATTTAATAAATATCACCTATTACAAAAACATAATCCCTTAGGTTTAGAGTAATAGCTTTTTGCCCTCCCCATAACAGTATATTGATACGAGAAAACATTGAAATCTAGCAGTTTGCTTGTATCGATATCTATTTCTACTATATACACTATACAGGTTGGTACACACAGCTACCATCAATTTGCCTCAAATCGTATCACTGAGGAACCGAATATTTACAAAACAAAAAAGTTTCCCAAAGGGCTTTGTTGGGGAAACGACGCTTTACAGTGTAAAATCTCAAAATACAGACTGTCGAGCCACTCAATGGCCACAACTTAAATGTCGATTTCTTCGGCAATTTTCAATTAAAAAATGCAGTGCGCTGTTAAGAAAACACTGTAAAACTGGAAAATTAACAAACAAACAAAACGCTCTTAAACTAAAGCTCAGATGAACTTTCTCCCAAGGTGAAAACCCCTTCTATAGGCTGTAGAAACTTGCCCAAAAAGGATTAAAATCGATTTATCACGTGCCTTAAAGGACCTCAAGTTTCCCAATGATTTCATATGGGAAAAACGTGTTAATTTGTTGAATCGAATGGAGCCACCGGTTGTCTTTAAGTATCGTCAAAATATTATTATACCAAAAAATCCTGGAAAAACTGCAAAAATGAGCCTCTAACGACCATAATCGTTCAATTTTGTTTCAAATGATATTTTTTCATGTGTGTTATGTTGCTGAATCCAGTGGTGCGCTTCTATTTGTCTACGTTTTTATGACTTCTTATTTCGGCTTTCTGCGAACAATATGACAATTTTTTCATATTCAACTGTATTTTCTCCATTTCGAAGGCATTTCTTGCTACGTCCAGGGCGTTCCCAAATTTAAATGGGTTTCTTCCTGACTCGATTTTTTTGTATAAATAATTTTAAAATCAGAATAGATCATTGTCTACTCTTGTCATGCGATATCGCAAAAGTTCGTTTCTTCTTTTTTTTTATGTTTAATTAAATTGATTATCAGGAAGATTTTTTGATCAGTTCGTTAGTTTGTGTCGTTCGATTTTCGTTAATTTTTTTTCTTCTCGCATGCGTGTGCTGATACGTTTGCTTAATGATTTTTCACACGGTTTTTTTTTACGAACGTTTTGAACATTTTTGGAACAAGTTGGCGCAAGAAGGCTTCTTCATTTTCAAAGCTTTGTTTCTTTCATATTCAACTGTATTTTTCCCCATTTAGAAAATCACTACAGATTTGCATTAAACTCCATGGGTTTGCCTACGTTATAATTTGAATTTGCAATTTTAAAAACATAAATAGATTCGTATCGTCCCCTTTTGCCATTCTTTGCGATACATCAAGAGTTCATTCACTTATTGCTGTCTTATTTTTTAAAACACCGATTTTCAGGAAGAGTCTTTCTCAAACGTACATCAACAGTTTGTTTCGTTCGTTTCTTATTAGGTTTTCCTTCCAGGAAATGAAGCGATTTTGATTCAATCTGATTATTTGTTGACCACAAACGACCATATTTTGGAAGAATTTTTAGCGAACGAAAATCAAGAGTTCGATTCGCTCAATTCTGGTTTATCTTTTAAAATGCGTGCTTTCTTAAGTGTGCTTTATGATTTTTTGACCAAGTTGACGTTTTTTCAGTCGCAAAAAAGTTTTCCAATATGAGTCGGTGTGTTTCAAAATTTTCATTGAATTTTCAAACTTACGAAACGTTTTTCGTTATTGTCATCCTAAACGGTTTCCAAAGTTCTGCTCTTTTCCTGTACTTTGTTGGTAATTTTTCGATTATTTCAAGCACATTTTTTTGGGACCAAACCGAGTGCATTCAGCTTATGGAATGGTCATCTGCCTTTTAAGTTTCCTTCTTAAACTGTTGGCTTTGCAACTAAAAATCTGAATGGTTGGAGTATATTCGTACATAAAAAGCACATACTTTCCAGCTGCTTGTGTACTTATTCCTTCGATTTTCGATTTTTAGCACCGTACCTAGACAAAAACTGATGGCACTAGCTCAAAATCCATAAAATCGTAGATAAATGAGAAAAAATTCCCAATGTTTTTGTTGTGCTTTGAAGGCTGTAAGAAAATTGTCTGCTTTTTCCGCTAATTTTTCAAGTTTTTTTAACGGTTTTTGCTTATAATTTTTTTCATGGCTACATAGACAGAACATAAGCACCCCACTGGATTCAGCAGCGTAAAACACATGAAAAAATATATAATTGAAAACAAAATTGACTAATAATAAAATTTTTACGCTACTTAGAAGATAGTAAGTCTTGGATTCAGCAGCTCAAAATACGCAAATCTAAAATTTGCATCGGTTTTTAGAAGGATTAAAAAATTAAGACGTTTCTTTCATATAAAATCAATGGAAAATTTTTATTTACCGGGGAGAAAGTCCACGACGCAAAGAGAAATTAAGGTCCGACCTAATGGCCATTGAGTCATGGGACACCGTGTACATGGGCGGCTCGGGACCTAAAATTATGACTAGAATTGATGCGAAAACATTCTCCCAAATAAAACAACATTGACAAGTACGTAAACATCCACTTAAGTTGTGAGAAACGAAAATGAAAATTCAGCCAATTGTAGCTGGTTATCGCTCTCGGAAATCTGTTGATTTTAAAATGTCATGTTTTTCGTAAAGGCAAACAAGTTTAGAGAAAAAAACGCCCACGTCATTTGAATCAATCCAAACAAAAATCATTTTATCTTGTCGCAACGAATAAGTACCTTCCATACAATCGAAATGTTATCTTTCAATATTTCTAATTAATAAATTTCTTTGCTTGATAACGTTATTTACCTAGACTCAATCACGGAGTTGGAAGGCTCTTGGCAACAACAAAAAATACGTTTTTTTCACCTTGCTGGTGTTAGGTGTGCGTAACTGAAAAAGTTGTCTTTGGCCGAATGAAGCCACATTTGTACTTACCCCGCTTACTAAGCGCTGCTCAAACTATCGACAAAATGTACAAAAAAAATAGGAACTAAGTCTATTGCCAATGCCATCGCGGTTGCCCATACAGAACAGAATGGGGCGGCATGTGGGCGCCCATTAAGGGGCCCAAGTGACTAGCGGATATCTGGAAATTGTCCTGGGGTTTAGGGCCGCCGCCCATGCACGGCTTACCATCGCGCACCAACACAGGAACGGCCACCCTTCGGGGAGACGGCATGGGGTTGTTGTTTTGCTGGTCGTGCATCCCTTTTTCGTGCTGCGCTCGTTTGGTCTTGTATCTGAAACAAGCAGAAGAAACGGTTAAAGAGGCCAATTTACGAGCAGAAAAAGTCGCTTTTACGTTCCTAATTTGGAAATTAATTATTTCGCTTTCACGACACTGAATTTGAACTTGGAGTGAAGGTACACGGGGAACTTGAAGAGTCAAATCAAGGATTTTGAGCGAAAAATTGTTCGGTTCTTGTTTTCTTTTCTGAACGTATTTCGATCGTTAAACCGATTCATCAGGGAAACGGCTCAATATACGGAAATGAAACACGAATTCATCATTATTTTAAAAAAATTAAAATAAAGATAATCGGTTTTGTGCGACCTTCAGAAAAAACCTTCTGCGTTATTTTTCGAAAGCTGTTCAAATAACTCAGATTTTGTTTGATTTGAACCCTGATAAGTGCGATCCCCAGAATTTTCCACTCTTCAATGGATTGGCAATCGTAAAGTTTTTGCTTCTTCTCAATCTTCGAAGTTTTGAAGTGATAATTTAAAAATCAAGTGAACAATTAAAGACATTTTGAAAAATGGAAGAATTTATAACTCGGTTTTATGTGGTTTTCGGAAAAAAACCTTCTGAGTTATTTTGCGAAATCCTGGGAAATAACTCAGAAGTTTTTGTATTAACAGCAGAAAAATGCGTTCGCAAATATCTTCCACTCTTCAATGCATTGGCAATCGTTAATACTTTGCTTCTTCTGAATCTACGAGGTTTTTAAGTAACAAATTCATAAAGTAAATCGAATGTGTGTGCTGTTCAGAAAAAAATATTCTGCGTTATTTTTCGAAAGCTTGTCAAATGACAGCATTTTTTTGATTTGAACCCTCATATGTGCGATCCCCAGAATTTTCCACTCTTCAATGGATTGTCAATCGTTAAGTTTTTGCTTCTTCTGAATCTTCGAAGTTTTGAAGTGATAAATTAAAAATCAAGTGAACAATTAAAGACATTTTGAAAAATGGAAGAATTTATAACTCGGTTTTATGTGGTTTTCGGAAAAAAACCTTCTGAGTTATTTTGCGAAATCCTGGGAAATAACTCAGAAGTTTTTGTATTAACAGCAAAAAAATGCGATCGCAAATATCTTCCACTCTTCAATGCATTGGCAATCGTTAATAATTTGCTTCATCTGAATCTACGAGGTTTTTAAGTTATAAATTTATAAAGTAAATCGGTTTTGTGCGAGCTTCAGAAAAAACATTCTGCGTTATTTTTCGAACTCAGAATTTTTTTGATTTGAACCCTCATAAGTGCGATCCCGAGTATTTTCCACTCTTCAATGGATGGGCAATCGTAAAATTTTTACTTCTTCTGAATCTTCGAAGTTTTGAAGTGATAATGTAAAAATCAGGTGAACAATTAAAGACTGTTTTGAAAAATGGAAGAATTTATAACTCGGTTTTGTGTGGTTTTCGGAAAAAAACCTTCTGAGTTAATTTGCGAAATCCTGGGAAATAACTCAGAAGTTTTTCCCTAATAGCAAAAAAATGCTATCGCAAATATATTTCACTCTTCAATGCTTTGACAATCGTTAATCCTTTGCTTCATCTGAATCTACGAGATTTTTAAGTTATAAATTTATAAAGTAAATCGGTTTTGTGCGATCTTCAGATAAAATCTTCCGCTTTATTTTTCGAAAGCTGTTCAAGTAAGTGTAATCACAAGTATTTTTAACTCTTCAATTGATTGGCAATCGTTAACTATTTGCTTCTTCTGAATCGACAAGGTTTTGAAGTTAAAAAATTGAAGAAATTGACTATCGCTGTTATGTGGGCTTTTGAGTTATAATGCAAAAGTTTGGTTAATGGTTTTGATTTATTTTCCTGACTAGTTTTCAGTCAAAGTGTGAAATAAACATTTTCATGTCGTTTCTCATCTCTCTCTTATCAGATTTAAAAAGCATACAAACTACAAACACCAATTTACAATGAAAATATATGTTGTAGAAAAAGTATAATTTATAAAGCGTTGAAACATTCATTAGTTCTTGAGAAAAAAAAACTTTTTTTGGGGTAGCAAAACATTTGAAAACTTACCTCATAATGGGGAAATATTAGATTCTTTTCGGTCTTTGCTGTCTTGAAACCTCAAATTTCTTCAAATTATTGTCTACATTTGCGAAAATGGTATGTATGTATAGAGATAAGGGGAAATATTAAAATTAAAACTATTTTCGCTCTATATCTCGATACATACATACCATTCTCGCAAATGTAGACATTCATTCGAAGAAATTTGAGATTTCAAGACAGCAGAGACCTAAAAGAATCTAATATTTCCCAATTATGAGGTCAGTATTTCAAATGTTTTGCTCTCCCAAAAAAAACGGTTTTTTTCCCCAAGAACCAATGAATGTTTTAACGCTTTATAAATTATACTTTGTGTACAACACATATTTTAATTATAAATTGGTGTTTGTAGGTTGCATGAATTTTAAATCTGATGATGGCGCTATTGTCTCGCCGAAACGATATAAAATATTTTATTTCACACTTTGACTGAAACCCAGGAAGGAAAGAATATAATAACAATTTGGTTAATAACTAGGATTTTTTTGCCTGAACACCACATCAGTGCGATCCCAAATACATTTCACTCTTCAATGCATTCGCAATCTTGCTTCTTCTGAATCTACGAAGTAAACTGAAAATAACTGCAGCCCTTTTGCCTGAAACTCCACTTTTCCAACTTTGCCACCATTTCGATCAATTCACATTGTCAACTTTCGCCTACAGCTCCATTGTCAACAACAATATTCTTTTAATTATCTAATCATGACATTATTTAAAAAGTTCTAATTGGCCCAAATGTAATGAATCGAATAATTAGGATATCAGCTCGGTATGTTGATACGAGTTTGCTTATCGAAGTTTAAAGTACGCAGCTATCACCGGTAGCGATCATGACTGATACGCGTGTTGAAGCAGTTTAATTTTTTTATTCAAAAATTCAAACCCACCAAACATGTAACCAGTAAATTGCAACATTAGTTGGTCGTCCAGCCATTAAAAAGAGGCTTCAAAGAGATGATTGATAATATCCAAACAAATCTTTAGACACACACAATTTTTACTTGCCGTTATCGGTGTTGTGATAATTCAACATCAAGTTATTTTCACCAAACTTAACTCTAATCCCTCTCGATTTGATTGATACTCATAGATTCTGCTAAGCCGGCACAATAATATGTGGATTCGGGATGTTTTCTTTCGCTTAATCGATCAACTAAGTGTTAAATTACCTGTGATTTTGGAACCAAATTTTCACTTGCGTCGGCGTGAGCCTGATGATGGACGCTAAATGTTCGCGTTCGGGGGCGCTCAAGTACTTTTGCTGTCTGAACCGTCGCTCCAATTCGTACGTTTGTGCCTTTGAGAAAAGAACCCGCCGTTTCCGCTTCTTGTGTCCTCCCGATTGCTGTAACAACCAAAACCACCCGTTAGTCTTCAGAAAAATTACCGATTCTTCAGAAATTCTCACCTGGTCTCGGTCGTCATCCTTGCCACAATCCTCGTCATCATGCTCCCCATCTCCATCCTCAGCCTCACTCAGTGCTCCATTGCTGGGCGCCGAATTGTCGCTTTGGATGGCTGTGAGTGGGGGTCCTCCCATTGGAGTCGAAGAATCCGTCAAACTGGATGGTTCCACGCTGGATCGATCGGATATTGGAGGACTGGTACTGTCAGGCGAGACTTGCGGAGGATTGTGCAAAGGAGGCAGCAAATGCTGCTGCGGGTGAACATGATGAATGGGCGGCAATCCTGCAAATAAGCCATTTCAATCATTGCATCAAACTGCCATTTAAAAATCGCTCACAATCGTGCGACAAATCGCATCTGCCTGGTGTGAGGGATTGTCTATCCCTTACCAGCTGTTTTTCGTTTTGTCACGCCCTTAGTCGCTTAACTACCCTTAAGTGACAGTATTTTATGGACCAGCCCCTGGTTTACACCCCTAAAGAGGAATTTATTAAACGCTTCCCGGCGTTGGTTTAGTTGTCTCCGAAATAAATCAAGAGACTTGCTGGATTTTGCATCGCAATTAAACACGTTTTTACCAAAATATAGGATGGTTGACGCAATTAGTTGATTTTTCCTATTTTGTTCAACTAGCTGGTAATTTGCCTTTAGAGAACAACTCGATTTTCTGGTAAAAGTTCGGGATTCACCTTTTGCTTAGAGGAAGCTTCAATATCGTTGTTTAGACTCCACAAGCTCATGGGATCGCTTTAGCAAAACCCCCGATATATCCACCCTTAATGTCTCTTTGAGCGCTGTGTAATTGCGCTGGTAGAGCGGCTTTTTACACCCCATTTCAATAGAAATCAGTTGCGTCAATTGGGGGATGTACTCTGATCGAAATGTGAAACCTCCTTTAGGGGTTGCTTTAAAATTTAAAAAAACTATGCTTGTGTAGGTATCGACACAAGTACGTGAATAAAATGGAATCCTTAAATAGTTAAAGTTTTATTGTAACGCGAGAGAAATCAGAAAAAATCGCAAATTGAGAGCAATTTTCAGAGCTTATAGAGCCAATTTTTTTCCATTACACGGAATAGTAATCAAAATGTCCACTTTTTTGTATTCCTGAAGGAAATTTTCATTGCGCTTGTATTTATTTTAAGATTTTGTTTTAGCGCGAGACCAGTCAGAGAAAATTTGCATACTTTTTATTTTCTTAATAACGAGTTTTGGGAAATGTAACGTGCAATGCGCACGTACAATTGCAGTTTGGCTTGTTGACATGTGAACTTGTTGACTCGATCGATAAATGAGACTTTCCCACTTTAAAGCGCCAAGTTTTCTTTAAAAAAAGTTTAAATAAAAAATTTTCTTAAAATAAAGTATTTCCTATGCTTGCGTCTATTTGCATATTTTGTTTCAATTTTAGAGAACTCAGAGAAAATCGCTAAATGAGTTAAATTTTCGGAGCTTTTGTATGCGAAAATCCTTTGTGAAACGGGATAATAACCAATTTTTCAGCCGTTTTGCTCTCTTAACAAGGAATTTTTGAAAATGGAATGTCCAATGCGCTCGTGTCTAATTGCAGCTTCCTTTGTCGATGGGTGAAAAATCGCGGAAATTTTCGAGTTAAATTAGACTTTCCCCCTTAAAGCGCGAAGTTTGCTCTATTAGGCAGTGCAAAAAGTATCAGGATCAGGGTTAGAGTTTTTCCAGTTTTCGACTTTGAAGTTTTTGAAAATAATATTTTTTCTGCGCTAAAAAAATCAGATGACATCGCCAAATCGGTGAAAGTTTCTGAGCTGATGGATTCAAATAGTCTCTATCAAACGGGATAATAATGAAAATTTCAGCTTTTTTGTTTTGTAAATGACAAATTTTTGAAAATGGTCCAATGCACTCGTGTCTACTTGCGGCTTCGCTTGTCGATGAGTAAAAAATCGGGAAAATTTTCGAGTTAAATAAACTTTCCCACTTTAAAGCGCCAGGTTTTCTCTATTAAGTAGTTTAGAAATCAGGGTTTGATTGTTGCCAGTTTTCGTCTTCGTCGAACTTTTTGAAAATAAAGTTTCACTATGCTTTTGTCTATTTGAAATAAGAGAACATCGCGAAATAAGTGAAATTTCCAGAGCCTATAGATCCAAATATTCTCGTTTGTACGAAATAATAACCATTTTTTCAGTTTTTTTGCTCTCTTAACAAGGAATTTTTGAAAGTGGAATGTCCCATATGCTCGTGTTTAATTGCAGCTTCGCTTGTCGGTGGATGAAAAATCACGAAAATTTTCGAGTTAAGTGAGACTGTCCCCCTTGAAAGTGCCAAGTTTGCTCTATTAAGCAGTGTAAAAACTAGGGTTAGAGTTTTTCCAGTTATCGACGCAGGATTTTTTGAAAATCAAGTTTCACTATGCGCGTGCCTACTTGCAGATTTTGTTTCAGCACGAGAGAATTTGGAGAAAATCGCAAAATTTGCGAAATTTCCAGCGCTTATAGATCCAAATATTACACGAAATAATAATCAATTTTTCAGCTTTTTTGGTCTGGTAGGAATTTTTAGGAATAAGGAATTTTTGAAAACGGAAGGTCCAATACGCTCGTGCCTAATAGCAGCTTCGCTTGTCGATGGGTGAAAAATCGAAAAAAAAATTGTAATTTTTAATCGATGAACTCACCGTGATCAGGTAATTGGGCCCAATGTCTTGGCATATAAGACAAATCGGTGGTTGTATACAGGCTGTCCGTAATGCTGGGATCCAGTTCTGAATGTGGATTGTTCTGTCGATCCAATTCCAGAATATCGCTGATGGCGAAACTGGCCGGCTGCCGTTGGTTGCTCATGGAATTTGACATTTTTATGCTGTCCAGTAGTCTGGAACAAATCCAGTTTTTAATGGAAATTTTGGTTAAATTTCCGGCGACGTTTTGCGCGAAATTTTTGCATGACGCGCCATAGACGTCATCGATATACGACAATTTTCTAGATAACTTGTTATCGTTTGGCACACACAGCAAAACAATGATTTCTTAATGTGTTTAAACTGTGTTCGATTCAAATGATAAGGACAGGTTTTAATTGGCATCCAAATGGAAAGTTTCTAGGTATGCGACACGTTTCAGTTGAATCAGCAGTCCACTTTTCAAGCCTCTCTTTCAGTAGGTCGTTTAACACTCGATGGCGTTTCAAGGTTTAAAGGGTTAAACGCGCATCAAACGCTGCATAAAGAAATTGCCCTAAATGTTCAAAGAAAGATTCGAACAAAGATTGTTCTCTCTAAATAACATCTTTCTCATACTTTTCTTTGACAAGTCAGTTTCGGTTCTTTATCAGGCCAAACCCTAATTTTTTAATGGCCGTATCTTCTGAAAAAGAACCTCCTAAGCCTGTAACACGCACCGCAGGTTTCTAATCGCTAAATGTCCCTTAAACTGTATAGAGAACATTTCACAGAAATGTCAAGTAAAAGTCGGCTTCAGATGGACGATCCAATTTAGAACATCCCAGTAGAATACTTTATATATTTTTGAAGCAACATCGTATGATTTTTTTTGTAATTGCCATTGAAAAATCCACGGCCGATGCAGCAATAGCCGCATAGTGGGCCCAAGCACACTAAATTGCATCGGGAAAGGCAGGCCTATAGGCCGCATTTCGCCGGTTATACACCAATATGCACAATGAAAATTTCCACTTTATGGGCATTTCTTTAAATAAAATTTTACCAGTTGGTTCAACAAACGTTCCACTGTAGATAAAACTATTAATCGATTGAGAAATAAAGCCACGTGTATGTGGAAATGTGATTTGATTTATTGAGTGCTCGATTACAGGCGGTCAAGTGATTCAAGTAGTCAACTTTTCCTCTCCAATATGGTGCGCCTTCTAATGGAATATGATCTACATTGCTGGTGGACATAAAATATCCTTCCGGACTGGCGCTAATATTTTCGGAAACGACCGGCCCAGCGAATAACGCAAAAGTCAAGAGGCCCATTGAGAGTAACCCGAAGTACAATGGGCTCCCAGGGTTCCTTTTGCGGTGCCGAAATCGAATCGGTTCAGGGTTCTGGGTTGCAATAGACCTTCCGGAATGCACCAGATTCTTTCAGAACCCAATAGACAACATTCATGTTATTATTACATAATAATATTAATTATAAAAGCGAAATTATGCATACCTTGGTAGCGCGTTTTTTATAGCGCTGGAGCACCAGGGGTTGGGAAATAAAGGAGCCCATGGAAGAAAAATGGGCGGCCAGCCTAATAAGGCTGGAACAGTCGGATTGGGGGGCAACGATGGCACTGTTTTAATATCCCTAGCTGAAGGTTCCAGCATTTTCCTGTCACAGTCAGCCGCCCGCGGCGACCCACTTTCACTTTTCTCCGCCACTGTTTCCAAAATTACGAAAACTGTCCGAAAAACCCCCCAAAACACCCACAAGAATTTTTTGATTAGAAATGCCTGCGACCGGTTGAGAATGTCGTTAGCCGATGCCCATAAAGCGGGTTGTCGAAAACCGGACTTGATTTCGAGGATTCAAAAGGAGCGACACGCGAATACATTGAACATCGAGAGGTACTGAAGAGCACCCTTGTTTGAAGGGCTCTTTTCGAGACCTCTCGTCGCCACCAATCGGAGCTCGGATCCGTTGGGTGGGGCCTAAACCGGCCAATCCGGGGCGGGCATCGCGACTAGCACTCGTAAATTGTTCTCTATGGCGCACCCTTATGAATAAGTGGTAGTTTCTCTAAAAAGAACAAAAGCCTTTAGCTTTTACTGCTAGAATTTCAAAGGAGTTTTTAGTATAGTGGCTCTAATGTGCCCGGAGGGGTGAGACGGATTTTTATGTTTGTATTGTATCGTTGATTGATAATGTTTTTGTTAAATCGGCCGCTAGATACAGGGAGGGCTGAAAAGCGGTTTTTTTCTACCATGAGAGGAGACTGGTTGAGGACCCTTCAATGCGGACATGTCTCGAAGCTTCAGCTGCTTTATACGCAATTTATGTGCAATGTTTTTGTTATTGAGATGTTAATTTCAGCTTGAGCGTTGAGTGTTGAGGAATTGAGTGGTTTACTGCTCTTAAGGTGGATAAGACCTTAAGAGCAGACCCGTTGGGTAACGGTAAGATCTGGCGGAGTTTTAACTCAATTTTATTCTTTTGCTGTTTAGACTTAGTCAATTTAAATCAATTGAATGTTAATTACTTTTGCAATTTTTGCGGTGTAAACTTGGAGCAAAACGGACTGTTTTAGAGTAAAATAATCGTTTTAGTTCAGTAAACCGGAAAGTTCTCTTTAGTTCGAACAATTGTTTAAATGCTTTTGTGTGTTATTACAAGCATTTACTTGCACTTTTAACCAAAGGTATAAGTTTGGCTTTTTTGGCTAGTGAACTTATCAAATTGCAGAAAAAAAACGTAGAATAGACAGTAAAGTTTCTTTTAATTTGTACATTCAAAACTTTATATAATATTTTGGGTTAATACTTGTCAACGATTCAGTTTTTTTCGATTAGTTTCAGTACATTTTTTTTAAGCTATTATTTCATTTGCGGTTTAAAATTCTTAAATTTTCAATTAATTGAAGTCTATATTGCACATTAATTGCTTTATCATTTCCATGTTTAGTATAATTGTTTTTCTCTTTTTATTTTGTGTCTATTCTTTTGTGTCATTCGCTGTGCCCATAAAATATGTTTCAGATTTTCTGTGGTTTTTTAAAAATAGGATTGCTGCTTTATTAGGTACAATTAGGTTTATGCATAATCCAGCATCAAGGAAGACAAACCGAAACGTAGCTAATGATCCTTTAATGTAAAATTAGCTCTTTTAATTGATAGAAAACCGAGAAATGTATTTTAAAAACCGATAAGCAAATGAGAGAAACGCATTTTCAACAAAAGTTCAAATATTGGCTAAAACACAGCTTATCAAATTGTAGAAAAAAGTGTTGCACAAACGAATTTAGTCCGTGCGTTCGGTCAAACACTCGATTTCATTTGATTAATTCTCGTGAGCGTTTCGGCTTCACTATTCACAGCCATGATCAGTTGTTATAACTTACATTTTCAGTAGTACTTTACCTTGTCAAACTGTAATTTAACTCTCTTTTTTAAATACCTGCAATTTCAGCCAATTGATACGTAACTTGAACATCATTTACTGTTTCTGTTTAAGTTCAATTTCTGGCCATAAAAGCTGATGATGGTTGAAAATATTGTAACCGAAACGTTGAGGGCAATTTGAGTTGAGGCAGAGACTGTAAGAAAAGTTTCAACGTATGAAGCAAAGAAAACTTTGACGCTTTTTCGAGTAAGTGTTTAGGTTTTGGAAAATTTGCTTCTGACTCGTTCTTATCCAAAAACACCACTAGTTTTGGAAGGAATTTTGAATCTTAACCTGCAAAACTACTCAAAGACGTCATTGTTGAGATCTCTAAAGGAAAACTCCACCGAAACAACAAATGTTGCAAATTCACAAAATCGCCCGAATAAACTAAAAAAGAGTTGAAGAATCGCCCGTTTTCTTGAGTTGTGCGTTCGGACACACACTGGATTTTTAGTTGGCAAATTCACGACAACGTTCTGGTTTCTCTTCGTACGACCATCATCAGATGTTTTATCCTACCCTTTCAGTGGTATTAATTCCCGGGTTTTCACTCAATTGAAATGGAAATTCAACATCAATTGCTGTTTTATTAGGTACATTTGTGTATAATCCATCATCAGGTAAGACAAATCGAAACGTAGCTAGTGATCAATTGATGCAGAATTTGCCCTTTTAATCCAGGGAAAACCGAAAAATACTGTTTTAAAAGCGGCAATTAAGCAGGAGAAAATCCATTTTCAACCTAAATCAGATAGGACTCGTTGCAACAGCTGATGATGTTTGAAAAAAGGGTAACCGAAACGTTGATGAACGCCGGTTTTTTGTAAACCGCCGAAAAAGTATCGAACGAACGGCTTTAATTCGTGCCTTTGGTAAAACATTTTCTGTTTTATTTGCCTATTTGTAGTCAACGTTTCGGCTTTGCTTCCTACATTCATCATTAATTATTATCGTCTCTACTTTCGGTAGTATGATTAATTTCAATTTATCTTTGAGGTTTTTCAGTTTTTAGTCAACTGAAACGTAAATTTAACATAATTTCCTGCTTTAGTAGGTATGTGAAGTTTTGCGTATCTAACAACGTTACACGGCCAAATTTGCCTTAACTTTGGAACATGATACATTCTGACTGTTGCGAGGTATTTGATTTATGTTTGAACTGTTGTGTAGTACAATTCTTTTTCTATCTATTCGTGTTCCTACGAAAAATTGCTGCTTCAGATAAAGTTTCTACAGGGGGCAAATGTAGCAATGCAAAATTTGTTAAAGTTTGGCATGCACTCAATTGGGCAAAAAAATATTTTTTGGATTTCAACATAAAAGACATAAAGATAGTATAGATAGAGAAGTATAGTATCAATAATATAGATAGAGAATAGATCTGAATTGTACTACACAACAGTTCAAACAGAAATCAAATACCTCGCAACAGTCACAATTTATGATTAAAGTAGAAACTTTAACTAAAGCACCAATTTTTTGTAAACAGATGCACTGATAGAAAAATAATTGTACTACACAACACTTCAAACAGAAATAAAATAGCTCGCAGAAGTCATAATGTATGGAGTTCCAAAGTGAGGGCAAATTTGGCTGTGTAACGTTTATTTTGTTGAGCAGTTTATATTCGATCATCAGGGAACACAAACCGAAGCGTTGCTTATGATGAATATTTGTAGAATTTGCGGCTTTAATATATTTCGCTTTGACGATTTGAAGAAAGAGAGATTGTAAGAAATTGTTGGTCCAATGTACGAAGTCAAGGAAACTTTGCTGCTTTTTCGAGCAAGTTTCTGGACTTTTTTCCGTCTAACTCTTTCGTATTAAAAAACCCTAATTTTCGGAGAAATTGTGAATCAAAATTCTGCCAAACTGCTAAAAATTCAATCATCAGGTAAGACCAACCGAAGCGGAGCTTATGATAAATCGCAGTAGATTTTGCGCTTTTAGTAGATTGCAAACCGAGAACTGCATTTTCAACTTAAAAAATATTAAACTCCGGCCATAAAAGCTGTTGATGGTTGAAAATATTGTAACCGAAACGTTGAGGCTGATTTTCACATGGAAGATTTCCAATTGAATTTTTAAAACAGAAACTGTAATAAAACGTTCAAACGTGTGAAGCTCAGGAAACAAAAGGAAAAAAAGTTTCTGGGATTTGAAAAATTTGCCTCTTAGTCTTTCGCATTAAAAATCGCTAGTTTTTTAGCCGAACTACTTTAAAAAAAGTAAATTTTGATATCTCTAAATGAAAAATTCGAGCGAAACAACAAATGTCGCTCATCAGGAAACGGCTGCTAGGAACATGAAAAAGAGTTGGAGAAACAAATTCGATCGCTAATCCCAATTTCAATATTCAATTCAATACATGTAGAAAAGTGCTGTTTCCATTAAATCATCCACTTAATACCGGCGACTTATCGGCTTAAAGATTAGAAACATTATTTTCATGTGCTCCAAACAATTCAATTGCGGTAAACACTAAATTCCAACGGAACTTATGGTTTGTAGTAGGGAAATTAAGCGCCCATTGGTCCCCAAACGAGTTTGGTCAATAAATCGTTTGAAACTGCAAGTGGAGGAATTCGAAAGATCAAACACAAAGAGGCACTAAAATATTAAGTGTAGAAAGACCGCAAAGCGCGATGGAACGACAATATTTTGGTATGCGGTGGGTCGTCATTGAAGCGGTCCGGAAGTAAATATAAAAGTGCTATATTTTTGACTATTTCACTCGAAGACAGTGAGAATAAAAGTGCGATGTTGAAAGGAGACTAACTGCAATTCACTAGACAGACACTGTTTGTGAATGGGGCACTTAAGATCGGCCACTACGAGTGTGGTCCAAATTCATTCATAAGCATTTGGCGATTTTGGCGACATACAGTCTGCTAGGGCCGACAAGAGTTCAGATTTTCCTCTTCCTGTCTACCTGCGAGCTTGAAAAGGTCCGATACTGAGTCAGGTGCCAATTCGAAGAACTTTGAAACTAAGCATCCGAATGTAATTTATTAGTTCTTCGGATGCGAACGTGTGGGAAAGTGAAGAACTGGCCCCATTCAAGTGATTATTGCACACTTAAGTCATTGTATCGGATTTTCGGCAAGGCCTTACCGAAAATCTCAGTTTCTGCCATGGACTCACACCTGTTGCTCATTGACGCTCTCTTGTCTACACTCAAAATTCCTTGGCACCTGAAGACAAAAAGGCTCCAAAATTCGCAGCTACGTGTTTACAACCGAGTTGTGCGGTTTAATAACCATTTTGTCACCTCCAAGTCCCATTCAGGTAGTTAAGACGTGGTTTAACAGCCTTTTTAACAATGAATTTCGACTATTTTAATGAAGCTTTATTGGGGGCCGCCGCTTTAATTAATGCGGCAACGATTTCGGGGCTCTGCAGCCGCAGTAAACGAACGTTTATTGCGTCTTCATTCCGTACTTTTCTGGGGAAAAAAGGCTTTGAACTAATCGCATATCAGCTTAATGTAGACTGAGTGTAGACTGTTCAATTGATGCTTCAAATGTACGAATCTAAAGGAATGAAAAAATAAATTGAACAAAAAACAGTGAAAGTGAAAAAAGCGCCTAAATACAAGAGGAACTACAAGAATCAAGCAAACAATTACTCACTTGGAATCTTCAATTTTTTAAGGTTTTTTTGGAAGTGATTCATACTTGATAAAAGTAAATTAAGTTTCAAGTAAACTATTTAAAATTCCTTCCATAAAAAAGCATGACTACAATTCTTTCACTTCCATCAGGTAGATAGATAGACGTACAATCGACTGGTTTGAAGAACCTTTTACATAATCCCGAGCAGGTTTATTATAAATATTCTTTTTCTCACATCCCATCGCTTTATCGGAGTCGGAAGTATCCGAAACTGGCGTGAAAAGGTCCGAACAAAAGGGCCGATTTACTCATTCAAAAACGTCGAAACTTTCGGCTGAAAAGCTAACATGACCACCGCGCCTCAACAGCCAATCTTTTCACATATAAAGTAATGGCCGGTAATTTATTCAGGTTGGCCGGAAATGGTTGAATGCCTACTCATATTGTGTTTAATTTGTATGCGAAGTTTTTAGCGCAGTTCCTTAATATTAAACAATTCGGTGAGATTTCGGGGGTGGAAAACGGCCGGGAAAGATGTACAAAAAGAGGTCACTAACATGGTTTCAACAGATCGGTTGATGTGGGGGGATTAAATGGGATTAGGAACAAATAGGAAATAAATTTCCGATAAAATCAATGAAGAAACATTGATATTTAGCGCGGGATTAGTTTTATCGATGTCATTGCCTTTGGGAGCGGGCAAAGACTTTTCGAAACCCTTTGCTAAGCGGCTTGTGAGAGAGTCGATGAATTCAGGAAAAGTTGCTCAACCAAGTTGCAAAAAAACAATGAATGAAAGGAAATCGGGGATTATAAAGAATGAGTTTAGCTGGTAGAAATTTGCAATTTTACACGCCCAGAAACTTGTGACACCCAGACTTTTGTGGTTTGCTATTTTGAGAAAATCGAGAAAAATCTGCGCATTCCTTAAGCGTTTTGTTTGTTGCTTGTTTCGTTTTATTGTTCCCTTAAGTCTCGGTAAAGAAAGGAAACAGGAAAGAACACTGCGTTGATTCACGTTTAGTGGACAAGAAGACAACAAGTGATTTATTGAAGTTTTTCAAGCATTTTAAAGAGACAAATGTGTTTTTGCTGGTGTTGAACCCCTTTATAAAACTACCAATATTTGGAATTCTTTAAAAATTGTATTTTCTTGTGTTTTAATCTGTTTGTTTTATTGCCTTCATATTGAGAAAACGATGGGATCTTTCACATTTGAACGTCTTATTTCTAAAAATGCGCTTTTGCCAGTGAGGAAAAGTTCAAATGGCTCCCATAATCAGAAACTTACGAAAGTAACGATTGCACTATTTTTTTGCCTTTGAATGAAAAGAACCGGCAGTATCTTTCAAGTTTTTGCGTTTGCGAAAACTGTGGTTTTTGCAATCAGGAATCATTATTTTTCAAAAATGTCGCAAAAATGGCCGTTTTATCTCTATTTTAGACACCAGTTATGCTATTTTGTCGCTGGTATATTCAAGAAATACAGTCACGAGTTTCGAAAGTTCAAATAGCCTCCATCGCCAGGAATATTTCGAAAAAATGGTCAAAATTTGTGTTTAATTACTTGGGATTTCTGATTTTCATCGAGAAAAATGTGCTTTTTACGAGTTTCTCAACCTGCACAAAGCCGTCATCATCAGGACGATTTCTAAAAAATTGTCAAAAGTAGAATGATTTAGTTTATTTAATTATCTACTTGCTTTTATTGCCTTTAAATTAAAGAAACAGTGCAATTTTCGGGATTCCTACATTCTATTGTGAAAGCTGCGCTTTCAGCAAATTTTTACCACTTTTAATTAACGGTCACCATCAGAAACTTTTTGAAAATATCCTTAAGAATATCGTTTTTTTACATTGGATTATTTTGTTGCACTGAGAAGAATCTGCGCTTTATTTAGGAAAACGCGTTTTTGTACATTTCGAACAGTTCAACTAAGTGGCGGCAGCAGGAATCTAGTCACTAGTTAATTATTATTTACTTGGTTTTATTGCGATAAAGTTTGGCAATTTTAGAGACGATGAGATTTAAGTAGGGAAATACGTTTTTGCACGTTTTAAAGATCGAAAACAACAGTTTTATGAGATTCCGTCCCCTTTTCTAAAACTTTCGCTTAAAACATCTATCGCCTCAAAATAGAGAAAATCATGAGACCCCTGATTTCTGCTTGCCATCCAGAAATTGTCGCTTGCAAGCGACGGAACGGTGATCGTTTTAAGCGAGTTTTTCAAAAACTTTCCGAATTATGAACTGATTTTAAGTAAATTTTCCTTGAAGTAAAAAAGCATACTTACGAATATCGGTACTCATCCTCCATGTGAACATAATCAGGAGGAATAATGTGCCAAGTGGGCTCATAAGAGGGACAGTCTTGGTCATATCCTTGTCCGCCTGATAAATCTGCCATTTTTTCGTGGAAACTTTCGAAGAACGCGAACCGGCCAAACCCCGCAACAAACCGACGGAACAGAGCACGTTTTTAAATAATTAAAAAACCAGAAGTGAAAAATCTTCCACAGATGTTTAGTGCCTCGATAAAGGATGATGATACCCTGTATCGTGAACAGTGCAATCTGTGCGATCGAAGGGTCTTGAACACACATTTATAATAAATTATTGATAAGATATGATAATATTTTGTAGGTAATACGGGAATATACTATATATATTGACAGGTGACTTGTTCTGCTGCATGTTTTCATAAGATATAAAAACGGGATGTGCTGATAAAAGCCCCACCGACTTTGTCGATTTAACACGCAATTAAGGCCTGGATATTGACTAGTAGTAGAATTTATTAAATGAAATACTGTTGAAAGTGAGCAAAGCATTGTATACAGTCTTATTGTAAATAGTTGTAGGTCAGTAGAAGAAAGTTGATAGAACTTTTAGGGAATTGTTCAATTATATGCACAGCTCAGTGACTAGTTGGTGTTTCCTTATTTGACTGAATCAAAACTCATCATGTAGCCGTGGTCCTTTCTTCAGTTTTTTCCTTTTCTTCTTCGGCAGCTGTTGCTCCTCCTCCAGCTGGTTCTTCTTCTGCTGCGCCCTCCTGTAGGGATTCACATAGCCTGGATCCCTAGGGACATGGTTCAACTCCTGGCTAGCCAGAGACAGCACTTTAATAGTACTCTCATCCAGCAAGTACTTGACTTGATAGCAATAGGAGATGGCCCACTGCAGCAAAACATTCCAGATGTTGTTGGTCTTCAGCATTGCAACACTACGATCTGGAAAGCGCAGAATTAATTCGGAAAACATTGCCGTGTTTTCGATGATATTGGAAAGGGCATCGCGAATGTTTTCGTCCAGGGGAAAGTCCGATACGCCCGGTATGAATGGGGAGGATTCCATAACTGCCCTGCTGTCCTGGATGATGGCGAAAACACGCTCGCCCAGGGCGCTGATTGTTTGGGTCGCCTGGTCATACTTGGCAGACTCCTGGAACCCCTTTATGGCGGCCAGTTGCTCTGCCCGTCGCCTTTTTAGCAGCTTTTTATCTATGCGAGAGTTAGGGCTTAGCTACGCTGGTTTTGGTGGGTTTACATAAAGCCAAAGGATACATAGTTGTTCGGCCAGTTCGGGCTCGTTCGCCCCGTTCAGTCCAGTGAACAGGAACGCCAATGAAAGCAGGGTTAATTTAAGGTTCATCGTTGGGGCCCCGGATCGGCTTGTATAAATAAGGCTTGAACTTTTTCTGACTTCTAACCTACATCATAACCTTCAAATGTCAGCGCGGTTTTGTTATGCCTGTTTTTATGGGGGAATTGGCATCAAAAAACCCCAAAGGATTTTTAATGTTGAGCTGAACTAATTTAATACGTGTAAATATTTGGGGTATTTTGCAAGGAATTGGCAAATTTTCTGTTAAAATCAGTGATTGTTGTATTGTGGGTTGCCTGATTCTCTGGGACGCTACAAAACGACAGTTGTTTTGGGCAAGTTGTCAACGAAGGCGGCTGTTGCTTATGTACAATCAAGCTATTATTTTTGAGTAACCCGAGTAACCATAAACTAAAATCGGTGGTAAAATCACAATTCCGGACAGAAATATGTAAAGTGCGAAATGGCGGGTTTTAGGGATCTGGACAAAGCGCTATTTCCCATAAAACACATCAGTGCTGTTGTTAAGTTGTTTCGAAACCAACTGGAAGACACCAACGAGCCGGACTTGGCCCTACTGTCGATTGTAACCGGCCTGATTGAAAATCAGCTTACAAGCCGGTCGAACGCGGGACAACTAATTGACTCGCCGGAAATAACAGTTTTACCCCGTTTCGAGCTGGAAACGGTGGAAAACTTGTACAGAAAGTTCAAAATCGTCATTACCGGGTCCGTGGAGCCGAACAAAGCTAAAACATATGCGACCAGAGATCTGGTGAAGCGCGTTTCCGATGTGATCTGGAATAGTCTTACCAGATCCTACTATAAAGACAGGGCGCACCTGCAAAGCTTATATAGCTACTTGACTGGCAGCAAATTGGACTGTTTTGGGGTGGCTTTTGCTGTTGTAGCGGGCTGCCAAGTACTGGGCTATGATGATGTTCATCTGGCTCTATCTGAGGACCATGCCTGGGTCGTGTTTGGGCCCCACGGCTCAGGTAAGTTCCCCCTTAAAGAGTCCTTGCTTGGCAATCATCTAAATCAAATGTTTCATTTAATAGAAACAGCCGAAGTGACTTGGCATGGCAAAGGCAATGAGGACAAAAGGGGCCAAGAGATAGGCAAAGGAGACTCAGCTCGCTCTTGGCTCTACGTGAACAACAAGCCTGTAGTATGCACCAGGCAAATGGAAGTGGCTGCTTTGGTGTCAGCGATAAATCCCTCTCTCAATGCCAGTGTGGATGCCACTGAAGTGGCTCTGTTGCAGCAGGAGCTGTTATGGCTGCTGTATGACTTGGGACACCTCAAGAAGTATCCTATGGCTATTGGTGAGTACAAATCCACCCTAGTTGGGTTGAGTACAACGTGTGCTTTTCCCAGGCAACTTGGGAGATTTGGAAGAAATTTCGCCCAAAAGGCCGGGAATCGCTTGCAGTGCTCTCTTTGAAGAGGCAATAGATGCAGCACGTCGATTCTACAACAACCAGCATGTTTATCCCTACACCTATCAGGGCGGTTACTATTTTAGAAACAAGAAATACAAGGAGGCGTTTGAAAGTTGGGCAAATGCCAGCGATGTGATCCGATTGTAAGCCATCAGCGCCCGAAACATTCGCATTTACCCCGCCAAATGTACGACTTTCAGATACAACTACTCGAGGGACGACGAGGAGATTTATAAGGAATTTCTCGAAATAGCCAACGAGCACATTCCCTATATAATGAAGATTGAGAGCTCGGGCTTTGAAGCGAACACAATCCTGAAAAAATCCGAGTGTTTTGCCAATCTACTCAAGTTCTACGATGGGATTTGTCAATGGGAAGAGGGCAGCGCCACTCCAGTGCTTCATATTGGGTGGGCGAAGCCCCTAGTAAACACCATATCGAAATTCGATGCTGATGTTAGGGCGCAGGTAAATAAATAAGCAGCCCTTGAAGGGGAATACAAATGGAGCATTTGCTCGAAGTACAAAGCAAAAGTAAATCCTTTGAAGAAACAGCATTTGCTTCGTTATTTAGAGCACTTTTTTTAAAGAATTTACTGCGTTTTATTCATGAGACCCAATGCCGGAATGGAAATGTTTCAGGTGCACATCGTGTGCGATAACATGGAGGAGAAACTGTCGAAGAAAAATGGCTCCATATTCAACAACAACAACAATAACAACTATGAAAAAGAGCATCAAGCCACCATCAGCAAGTCAAACAATAAGGACCAAACTACCTCGCACTTTTACCCCACCATTGAGGCTCTAACTGCCGCTTGTTCGGAAAAAATCCTGAATCCTGAATACCTGCTACAAGGCGATGGGTCGCCGTTTGTTGGTAAGTGCCACTGGAGCTCGTTTGAGTGAATTATTTAAAAGAAAAATGAGTTTTTCTTCATTAAATAAATCCTTGTTGATAAATTGGCCTCAAAAATGCTTCAGGACGTTTCGACATGAAATTTAGCTTCCATAACAATGTTACAGGGCCCAGTCATCAAGAGCATATAAAAATAAAAATTGAGAAAACGGAAGAGACTGAGGATGGTAATACTTTATCCCAAACCATATTGATGTGTAATCGTTGGTCGTGTTTAGTTTTCCTTAGTTGAATTGGACGTTTTGTGATTTGTATTCGTTTGCGTTTGGCCACATTCCATTGGCTCGCACATTGAACCCGATTGTTTTACAGGAATGGAAATGCTCCAACCGGAAATCGATATCAAACCCCAATTGGATATCAAGCAAGAGGACTTGGGTAAAATTCTTCCATCCAATTTGTTTTCGTTTTGTTTGGGTTTTGATTTTGTTGTCTTCGTTTCACTTTCCTTTTGTTGCATCAATTCGGATTTTTCTCAAAAATGTTTGTCTTCCAAATGCAAATCCGAACGGTTTTTCTAGGTGGTGAAAGTACCATTCCCGTGGTGACAAAGAAGGAGGAAGAGAAGGAGAACGGCAAACCTGGAACGTCCAAGTCGCCCGACTTTATCACCAAACACGAGGACTATGAGGAGGAGTTGAGAAAAAATCGGCCCACTGTTGTGCTGCACAGTCAAAAGATGAAGGAACTCAAAGATCTTTTGTTGGCAGAGAAACTGAACACGCACGCCATTTCTTTGCATTTAACCGCCCAATCTCAGGTAACAATCTCATAATTTTTTTCAAAATATTTGTACATTCATCACATTGCTTTTTTGCAGGTACAAGTGGGTAAAAGGGGTAAAAGCGATTCGACGGACACTTCGAATAGGCCAAAGCGCACCAGACGAGACTAAACGGGCCTCAATCAAAACCTAAATTGCAACCAGACGCTTAAAAGTGAGTACTTAAGTATGAATTTAAGGGCATTAAACAATCGTATAATGCAATAACAGTTTCTTAAGTTGATTTACACATGCAACACGTTAAACTGGAATTTGAAGTTTAGTTGAAACGATTTGTTGCATTGTTGTACACCGAGCACTTTAGTTATTAAGTCAGCTTGCCATTATTAACAGTAGCTTTTAAATTAGAATTAATTGAAAACGTGAGCAGTATTACTACTTGGAAGAAAACTGATCAATTTCCGGTGATTTTACGTTTAATTTTAGCATTTGTTAGGTGTCCAGGAAGCTTTGGCTTCTCCTTATAGCTTTAATCAGATGTGAGCATTTTTTCTCAGGCATTGATTAGAGATGCGAATAACGCACTAGACTCTATCTAAGTCTCTAATCGATTATTACATTGTTAACATTCCTATTTGTGATTGTTTCACGAGTGTTTAGCTTTAAGTTTGTTGACACTTTTTTGTACAAAGACATATTTACTCGTTATGTTAGTCTTGTCTATTTATTTAACTGCTTACATTATGTTAGTCGCACATCACTTGCAATATTATTTATTTCATTTTCACTCACTCAGTGATTTGAGCATTGAATGTCGCAATCAAAATGTATATGTGTATGTTGAATTTTTTGCGAAACAGCGCATTTGAGTAGCTGTTTTAAACGAATATTGACAAAATAAACAGTCTATTGAATTGCTTGTTGATTTGTGCATGCAAGAGCTCAACATTCGAATGGCTACTTGAACACTTGATTGTATTGTTATGTACATGTTGTAGAATTCAGTGCAATTATTTCTGTCAGACGTTAAAGAAAAATCGAAAAGTGAAGGAAGATAGACTTTTGAGGCCATTCTTTGAAACTAGTGAGTTTTTAGGCCGTCGTAAAATGGCATTTCGGCTGGTTCAAGCAAGCCACTCGTGCTTGCGAAACGTCAGGAAGAAATTCCATTTTACAACGGCCTAAAAACCCACTAGCTTCAAAAATCAAAAAGGTTACAATTTGGGCGGACATTGCTTGAAATAGGTGAAGTTTTCGGGCTTTTAAGTCAAAAAGTGGTTGGTTTTAATGTCAATAATTTACTTCTGCATAAGCTTTTTTGAGCCGCATATTATAACAATTTTCGGGTGTGCTTTCTTTATTATATGTATGAACATATGGAGGCGCGCATTTTCCGGTTGCTTGCCGCTGACGAATCGCGCTCTACACCCCAATTTGGCTCCTGCCCAGTGATCTTTTTAGTAAGGAGTCTGCGAAAATTTACTGCTTTTACACTACAATATTTTATCCAGAATATCAATATTGAATCCACTATTCCTCGTAGTTGAATTTCGCGAGCGCGATTTTTTGCTACTCCCGAATCCCCCCCATTGACGTTCTCCTCAGCTGCATCTGAATATCCGAAGAGAAAAGATCGTGTTCCGTTGCATTTTCTTTGAGGATATCCATGTTGGGTAAAATCAGGTTTGGCAAAAACTGATCAATAAGCAGGTTTAGATAGTTTTACACTTGTTTGCTTCAGTTCTGAACATCAAGAAGACGCACGATTTGGCCCTAAAAGCCCGATAAACTCACCTGTTTAAGGTCAATTGCTCCAAAATCCACTTAGATCACGTTTCTGCTATGGGTCTATTAATTGATTTTCATTGTACTTTATCACTTTGTGTTGTTTAAACCAATCTATTTCTAACCAATTCTATTAGAGATTAAACTTTAAGAATAGTATCACCAATAGGGTTTAGAGTGAATATCACCAATGTAGCTTATAACGCATTGAAGACGAAAACTAGAATCTTCAATCGTCTATTATAGGTCATCTTCAATGGAACATTGTTGATCCTTAGGGTTTACAGTCGTATAGAGAAAAAGCTGATTTTATTTTTATATATTTGGTATTTGATATTTATTGTACAAAAATTAATCTAATTGTGAAGTGGTACGATAATATCGGCAAATGTCTAAAATCTGTTAAAATATAATGCAGTTTTAAAATTACCTACAGTTTACCCAAATCATAAACACATTGATCCCCCTAAATGAATGTGCCATTTCGCTGATTTCACTTAGTAAAAGATTCACATTTGCACTGTTTTCGATTGAAAAACCACATCAGAATTATTTACATTCACCGCTGGGAAGTTTCAGCCTAAAATTGTTTAAATAGTTTCGAATTTATACAGAGTGGCTCCAACTTGAGTGGCAACTTTACCAGTACATAAAAGTGGACAACTGAACTTTTATAGAATTCACCAACGTGTATTTGAAATTATTTACTTACAAGTCAAGTGGCTTTCAATTTAATACATTTTTATCCATGTAAATAAAAAATCTATTGATTGAATTGATTGATAAATAAAACGCAGCAAATTTTCCTATGCAATCTGCATAGGATTTCTATGCAACTCTAGGCAACTAAGCTTATCAATCAGAATTCTTGTTTCTTCATTGTACGGAAGTTTGATTCGTTGTGTAATTTTATATTCTGCTTGTCTGTCTGTTTTAACCATTTACTGTCCATAATCCTGCATAATGCGCGCAGTTTTGTGAACTAAGTTATTCGCAAAGGAAATAAATGAAAGTACATGTTTCCCAAGTTTACGCCTCGAAAAAAGACCTAAACTGGCCAATCATTGGCCAAAAACCTGCTTGATCAAGGTTCGAATTGAAAGAGATTTCAGGGTTGTTCTCCAGAAATACATGAGTATTATTGTTATAAAATGCGATTTTGCAGTAAAACGGCCCACTTTTGTGCATATAACTGCCACTTTTAGGTGGATGGTTTCAAAGTCTCATTTTCTCCAATGGCGTTAAAATTACGGACATAATTGAATAGAAATAGAATATCGTCGAAAAACTATCAGGATTTTAAAGTTATGCCACTAAAGTCTGGGTCACCCGGTATTGTAGTCTGTGATGAATATAAAGGGTGACTAATGTATTTATTCTATTTTGTAGTTGTTAGATGGATATTTTTGTAAAGGAAAAGTTATGAAACAAAAAACGGACAACTTCCATTTTCAAGGGTTTTTATTGGGGAAAAGTGATACCGGTCTAGACTGGGCGGAATTTGAGCTAGAAATCGCACAAATTTCGCATAGTCAAGCTGCAAAGACGGACTGGCAACATGGAGCGGTTTTCTAATGGTTATTCTATTTGCTTAGTTTCCCATGTTGTCCTCTTAACAAATACTGAATGTACAAACTTGATACTGTTATTTAAAGCTGTTTACCTGTGTATACCTTTAGAAGTTTAATCCAAACTCCTTAAGCCACAAATAAATAATTAAAGCAGAACTAGACGTTTTTTTTTATTTTGCAAGGAAACTCAAAGCAAACCTACTAGAACTAGTTTATTTCTTACGTACAAAACAAATCAACGAATTGGTCTCCACGGCTCGAAAACATCCCCGATTTTTACACGCTCTGAAAACGAACTGAGGGGATGAAAAAGCCTTAATCTCTGGCACGTTCTTACCGTAAGGGGGAAAGTCTTCGGGGTGCAGCTCGATGTAATGGCGAAATATTGCGTCTCGTTTTGCTAGATGTTCGTTTCTGTATTTATCCACTAACACCCCGATTCCCACGCCTGCACTTAGTCCCACAATGTGCTTTTGAATGCCTTAAATACATTTCCCTTTCGCTAGTGGTTCAGCAGGCAAACAAACAGGCGTTTATAGATGTTATATAATTCACTTACCACTCATCAATGGTTTTTTTCCAGCCCAATTCGCTAGAATAACCGAAACGAATCCTAAAAGTCCCCCCACAATCGGCGTGTACAGGACATGGAGTACTCCAGGTTCAATTCCAGGAGAATTGAGCAGTTCCAGAGGGGTTTTGGCCAGTTTTGGTCTGCCTGGAGTATCCATTTTTCACTTTAGTGACAAGGATTTGTCAAAATCCGAGGTTTTAGGGTTATTGGCGAATTGAGGTTGGAATGAGAAAAACTGAGGCTAGAAGATGATTTTTTGGAAATAACCGTGCAATTTTGATTGATGTCATTTTTCAATTTTAGTACGTGTAGGAAAAATGCCCAAAAAGAAAACAGGGCAGCGGAAGAAGGCCGAAAAACAGCGACTGAGGCAGAAGGAGATCAGAACGGCTAAGGAGAATGTGCAGCTGGCGCAGCACCCATGCAACTCGCTGATGGAATGCGAAAAGTGCCATCGGTGAGCCCTAATTTCCTTATTGAAGGCACGTAAACTCGTATCTGAGATGTTTCAGGAAGCAGAAAAGCCGGGCGTTTTGTTACTTTTGCCAGAGCATCCAACGCCTGCCTGTTTGCGCCCAATGTGGCAAAATGAAGTGCATGTTAAAGACGGGGGATTGTGTGATAAGACATGCTGGCGTCTTCACAACAGGGATGGCTATGGTGGTAAGTATTTGTAAGGAACCCCCGTCGGAATTGGGGCTAGAACTTTGAAGGGATTTTGGGTGCCCTCATTGGAAAATTCTCGAGAATTCAAGCCTTCATTCAAAGTTCAAAGCTTCGATTAGAGAAACTAGTGCTTGACAAGATACTCCTGTAAAATCGTTATTATTAAATTATTTCAGGGTGCAATTTGCGATTTTTGCGAAGCTTGGGTGTGCCATGGAAGGAAATGCTTGCAGTCGCATGCTTGCACTTGCCCTCTACAAGAAGCCGCTTGCTTGGAGTGTGAAAGAGGCGTTTGGGAGCATGGAGGGCGGATTTTCCGATGCTCATTCTGCGACGGGTGCGTTTTTCCCTACCCAAAGTGAAACGTTTTTTCTTTAATGTATTATCAGGTTTCTTTGTGAAGATGACCAGTTTGAACATCAAGCCTCTTGCCAGGTGCTGGAGTCGGAGAATTACAAGTGTGAGTCTTCAAGCGACGAGATATAAGCCCGGTTCTGGTAATTTGTTTGTTAAAGGTCAATCTTGCAACAAACTGGGACAATACTCGTGCTTGAGGTGCAAGACTTGCTACTGTGAAGACCACGTGAAGAGGAAAGGATTCAAGTATGAGAAGAACAAGGGGATTCCTTGTCCGAAATGTGGCTACGAAACGTCGCAGACAAAGGATCTTAGCATGTCCAGTAAGTGGAAGTTGTCCTTTGTTTATGGGAAAGTAAGTGTTCTTCTTTGCTTCTAGCGAGGAGCCACAAGTTTGGAAGACAAGGCCAGGCCTCATATGATGATTACGAAGCTGGGGGAGATGACTATGGAGAGGAAGGCGGCTATGCAGGCTACAGTGGTGGAAATGGGTATGAAGATCAGTCATCTGATGAAGAAGAGGAGGATTCTGATGAGGAGGACGAAGAAAGTGGGTGTTCGTGCATCAGTGCATGGTCATGTAAATAGTGTTTCACCGAATTTTAGGTCAAAGCGATGAAGAAACTGATGATAGCCAGAATGCCGATTCGAAACAAAGCACCAAACCAAAATAGGAACTAATTTGTTGATTTTGGATACCGCCACTTTATTTTCCATTGAGATTTATTAAATAGAGCAAATTTTTTTGACGTGATCTTGTTTCTGTATAGTCCCTTTGAGTAGTCGTAATGTCGCCAGCCAATTTTATTTGAGTCCTGATTTTTTCGCTAAATATTAGCAAAAAATGTGGATTTTTGTCTAATGTCCTTAGTATGCTTCAAAAAAATCATAATTTCACACACGAAACACTTGCGTTTGTAAATTCTGATAATTTCATTTAAATCTCACTAATTCCTGATTTTTGCGAATTTGGTCAATGTTGGTTTAAAAAGTACAATTTCAAACCGAAAAAATCTATACAAGTGCCAAGTGCTCTTTATGCTTGAAAATCATAACTTTCGATCCAAAGGCGTAGAAATCTTGCAGCTTTTAGAGTCTACAAGAAAAACTTGCATCTCTAAATGCTGAAAATTGCAGCCTTTTTCAATTCAATGCACTAATTATTGGAATTGCGGGCTTGATAAATCTGGCTCTAAAAATACGCGCGTGCACTCACTGCTTAAAAAACTCATAACTTTTGCTCTATCGCGGCTAAAAATGTCAAACTTTCAGAGCTTACAAACAACACTTTTACCTGTAAATTCCGAAATTTTTGGAAAAATTGCGCTTCATGGTGATTTTTGCCGCAAAAGATTCTCATATTCAAAGTGATTTTAATAGACTTCTCATATACTGGGCGGTGAATACTTCAAGAAGCCTAATTTAAAAAAATATATATTCGATATTAAACTGGGAAAGATTTCAATTTATGGAACATTTGCGTCCAAATTGAGCCTCCCTGTATATAATGGAAAAGACAAATAAACCCTCAGCTTTGATGATTCGCAAAGTGGCCCATAGATGCTGCTTCAACCGCCAGTGGCCACGTAAGATCTGACAGTGGCACAATGACGTTTAACAATTTACTTTTCCTGATAAATGTATCTTACAAATTTCACTCATAAAAACTAGCATTTGCTATGTTAGTCACTCTAGAGTCGGTCGCTATTTAGTGTTAGTTCATTCAGGTGAGTGCAAGCTGAGTTTCGGTTGAGCCCCATACTGTACAGACGAATTGCATGTTTATTGGGCAAAGGTTGAGTGTGTTACCTCAATTAAAATTGCTAGAAAGCGTTCTACTTGCAGTTGAAATTCCCCTGTTTGTTCTAGAGTTGTGAAAGTCATGGCTGAACCAAATGGAACACGCACCTCACAAGGAAAACCTCAATATCAGTTCAACGGCATCAACTCCCACAATTCGTCCAGAGAGGTTTCTCCGCTACCCCGCGTTGGATACACACCGGGCTCCCAACTGCCCCCCCACATGGCCCCACAGCTGCCACCCAATAGAGCCGCAATGCCGGCTCTAACTCAGAAAATTTCAGGGCTGGGTATTTCAATGCCCAGCACCCCCAGTATCAGCCCTAACAAGTTCGGTAAATCCACAACCAACACAGGGGTCCCGGAGAAGGCGGCATTTAGCGAACATTCATCGCCAGTAGTGTCAAATCGTTTGGAAAATGTGCCATTAAATGATATTGGAACTTATCCTGGCGGCCAGTACTTTGATAATCTGGTTCAAGCCCCAGTGAGTCAGTACGACGGGCAAAACAGGGCGTTCCCAGCCAGTAGCAGTGTTAAACAGACTAGTAGTACCAGTAATTTGTTCTCTCAAGCTCAGACGAGCCAAAGTGCGCAATTTTCCACCAGTATTCAGGCGACAAGTGCGTACACGCAACCAGCAGGAGTTTCAAGTGCAAGCCAAAGTGTTTTTCCTCCTAGACCCACAGCTCAACCCCCCAGCAGCCAAATGAGACCAAATTACGCGGCACCGACCGGCCTCAGAAACCTACCTCAACGATATCCCACTCCTGTACAGCCTCAGAGTGTGAATGCTGCACAAAGACCTCAGCAGCAGTTTAACACGGGGCCGCAAGTGCCAATTCAGAGATTCAACCCTCAGATCAACTACAATCTGCCGCCTGCCATGGGACAAAATCAGCCTCCGCCTGCAAACGCCACAAATTCCGGCAGCAGATACCCGGTTGCTGTAGGACCGCAACAGCCCCGACACGTCGGCTTTCTGAACCAACCGAATCAACCAGCTCAGGGGGTAGTTCAGAGTGGATTCAGCCGAATCTGGGGCGGGGAGAACTACGATTTGCTGCAAATCCCCAATATTCTGCCGCCCGCTCAGGTGCACCCCCCAAACATTAACCTGGGCCAGGAGCAGCTGAATCAGGCGAACTGTAGCAATGAGATCTTCCGATGCACCGTGACGAAAATCCCCGATTCGGCGTCCCTTTTGCAAAAATCGCGGCTTCCTTTGGGGCTGCTGATCCATCCGTTCAAAGACTTGAACTACCTGCCAGTGATTCAGTGCAACGTGATTGTGAGGTGTCGCGCCTGCCGCACCTACATCAACCCCTTTGTGTATTTTGTGGATGCGAAACGCTGGAAATGCAACCTGTGCTTCAGGGTGAACGAGCTGCCTGAGGAGTTTCAGTTCGACCCCGTTAGCAAAACGTATGGGGACCCGACGCGGAGGCCGGAAGTCAAGAGCAGCACCATCGAATATATTGCTCCTGCTGAGTACATGTTGAGGCCTCCCCAGCCTGCCGTCTATCTGTTTCTGCTCGATGTTTCCAGGCAAGACTCACTGTGGTTTTCCTCCAACGTTCGCTATTGTGCGTTTTCTTTGCAGGCTGGCCATTGAGAGCGGCTACCTGGAAGTTCTCTGCCACACTCTGCTAGAGGAACTTCAAAATATACCAGGAGACGCGCGAGCTCAAATCGGCTTCATCGCCTACGACTCCAACTTGCATTTCTTCTCAATGGCTGAAGGCCTCAATCAGCCCCACGAGATGACCATTCTGGACATAGACGATGTGTTCCTGCCAACTCCCGACAATCTGCTAGTAAACCTGAGAGATCGAAGGGAACTGGTGGAGGATTTGCTCAAACTTTTGCCCAAACGCTTCGCCAACACTTTTGATGAGAACAGCGCTTTGGGGGCCGCCTTGCAAATCGCCCACAAATTAATGGGGCCTACTGGTGAGTGGAAATGGTTAACCTTGCAAAACTAATATTTTCTAATGATCCAATTCCAATCATATCAGTTCTTTCATGGAATCTTTCGGAGTCATTACTCGAGCATCGGTTATCATCTTATCGAAAATCGTGCGGTTAAGCGATGTAAATAACGCTATTAAGCCAGTCATTGGATTAATTTATTTATACATTGCGTACTACTACTACATTTGGTACTTTAGATAATGAGCACATTAGTTATTTGCTTCCAGGCTTAATTGTTGTTTAATAGTAATTACATGGGATCCTGCACCCCTAAATTGGAAAAAATCGGGTTAACCTGTAAAACACTTCAATTAGGGTCAAATGGGGTAAACGTATACATGCACAGATTTCAGTTTAAATTTACAGCAAAATCTACCACGTCTGCTAATATTAACGGCTTTACTACCTCTCCTTATAAGGCTGCAGCAGTTTCTTCTTAGGGGTCCCTTTTCAATTCCCGCGAACAGTTTGCGATCGACCCTACATAAATTTGCGATTTTTGTTTTGTCGCCTATGTAAAGTTAATGTGTTTTTATTTTATTTTAAAGGTAAGTGTTGTTTTATTGGCTTATAAAATACTGATTTATTCAGAAACCGTTTGTTCTATTGTTGTTTACATATAACCCCATAAAAATCGTATATGGTGTAATTGTAAACAACATTTTGGGGTAAAAGTAAACAATGATAGACATTAAATTTGAACATTAATAAAAGTATTTTTTCAAATGTTTCGAAAATATGCTCCAAAAACTCGTGAACCGGCCTACACTAAAGAGGATCTTGCTAATGCTGTCGCTGATGTGAAAAGCAGAAACATCACTTATCGAGCGGCTGTTGAATACTGCAATGTTCCAATTGCCGACATTTTGCAAAAAAATTAATGGGAGACTTAATTGAGGCAAATCGTGGAAGAAAGAACACTTTCAACCAGGAAACTGAAACCAAGATAGTTGAATGCTTGCTAGCTCGAGCTAACGCTTACTTATGGGGAAGTTTTGACAACAGAAGAAGTCCTGGATAGGCTACAGTTAGCTCGGAAAAGGTTTTTGAAAATCTAACCGAAGAAAAGGACGGTACCACAGAAAAGAAAATTAAGGAATTAAAGGATGCCAGAAGAGAAAACTACTAGAAATAGACAAAAGATAAAACAAATACAACAAAAGTAGTTCAGGCGATGAACAAAATGACCATTCGTTATCACATGTTTAAGTTATGGAGGCAGTTCGTTCGATGAAGATTTTTAATTTTGAGGAAGATAAGATTCCCATAACTAAGACACCTATTTCAGAACTAAAATATGGAAGTTTTGCACTTGTATAATTAAAGGGAGGGAAAGGGAACACAACTACCTATAAATATGTATATTATCTAGAGAGTATTGTTGATCAGGAAGTGGAAGAAGTAGGACTATCTAATACATAGATAATACTAAGCAAAACTTTGCTGTTCAGGTAAGTGATGTAAGTTTGGTTGCAGGATACCAGATACTGGGGGTATTGCATTTCCCACGATTAAGATGAAAGGAGAAATAATTTATTTTAACTTTGAAAAGGTAGTTCCAGTATTGGAAAATTAATATTTCTGTTGGTATTTAAGATAGAGTTTTATTTATATTTTTATTATTTTCTTAAGGATTTAATTCACGAGTTTCTAAATAGTTTTTAAGTTTCTATGTTTGAATAAAAAGCTGAATCACAACAAAACATGTTTTTAATTTTTTGTTGCAAATGTAAACATTAACTTAAATTATTAATACGCTACCGGCCTTAAACAAAATCAAAATTAATTCTTGGGTTTCAGTCATTTATTGTCTTTATTTATCAATTAAAATACGTTTCGGTGTTTTTTTCCACCATCATCAGTTTTTCTAAAATAACATAGTTAAAAAAAATTTCATTAATTTAAAAAACAATCACAGTTCGTCAACAGCCTCATCATATCACACATTAAAATACATCACAATTGCAACACTTTAAAACATTCTA